ATAAAAGACACCTGTCCACAACCTCAAACAGTCACACTCCAAACTCCACTATGGTGAAGACCAAAGAGCTGTCGAAGGACACCAGAAACAAAACTGTAGACCTGCACCAGGCTGGGAAGACTGAATCTGCAATAGGCAAGCAGCTTGGTGTGAAGAAATCAACTGTGGGAGCAATAATTAGAAAATGGAAGACATACAAGACCACTGATAATCTCCCTCGATCTGGGGCTCCACGCAAGATCTCATCCCGTGGGGTCAACATGATCACAAGAACGGTGAGCAAAAATCCCAGAACCACACAGGGGGACCTAGTGAATGACCTGCAGAGAGCTGGGACCAACGTAACAAAGGCAACCATCAGTAACACACTACGCCGCCAGGGACTCAGATCCTGCAATGCCAGATGTGTCCCCCTGCTTAAGCCAGTACATGTCCGGGCCCATCTGAAGTTTGCTAGAGAGCATTTGGATGATCCAGAAGAGGATTGGGAGAATGTCATATGGTCAGATGAAACCAAAGTAGAACTGTTTGATAGAAACACAACTCGTCTTGTTTGGAGGAGAGAGAATGCTGAGTTGCATCCAAAGAACACCATACCTACTGTGAAGCATGGGGGTGGCAACATCATGCTTTGGGGCTGTTTCTCTGCAAAGGGACCAGGACAACTGATCCGTGTACAGGAAAGAATGAATGGGGCCATATATCGTGAGATTTTGAGTGCAAACCTCCTTCCATCAGCAAGGGCATTGAAGATGAAACGTGGTTTGGTCTTTCACCATGACAATGATCCCAAACACACCACCCTGGCAACAAAGGAATGGCTTCGTAAGAAGCATTTCAAGGTCCTGGAGTGGCCTAGCCAGTCTCCAGATCTCAACCCCATAGAAAACCTTTGGAGGGAATTGAAAGTCCGTGTTGCCCAGCGACAGCCTGAAAACATCACTGCTCTAGAGGAGATCTGCATGGAGGAATGGGCCAACATACCAGCAACTGTGTGTGCCAACCTTGTGAAGACTTACAGAAAATGTTTGACCTCTGTCATTGCCAACAAAGGATATATAACAAAGTATTGAGATGAACTTTTGATATTGACCACATACCGTATATGCCGGCGTATAAGACGACTTCCGGAAGCGCTAAACTCGGTGCCAAAGACGGGGGTCATCTTATACGCCGGAAATACTGGTAGTTTCCAGCATATAAGACGACATTCTAGGAAAGTGACTCAGCGATAAAGACAGGGGTCGTCTTATACGCCGAGTTGCCTAATATGCCGGCATATACGGTACTTATTTTCCACCATAATTTGCAAATAAATTCTTTCCAAATCAAACAATGTGATTGTCTGGATTTGTTTTCTCATTTTGTCTCTCATAGTTGAGGTCTGCCTATGATGACAGTTACAGGCCTCTCTCATCTTTTTAAGTGGGAGAACTTGCACAACTGGTGGCTGACTAAATACTTTTTTGCCCCACTGTACTTGTTATCACCTTAAGATGTCTGAAGGAAAAAGAAGCAACTACAATACATAACTGACCTTTAGGGCTATGCATGTTTCAGAAATGATTCTGAACAAGTGCTTTGGAATATGTGCATATGTGAGCTTAATCAAGTGCTCAAAGCAGCTGAATTTTTTTCCAGGCTTAACGACTTGTGCCAATTCCCAGTGCTTTCCCATTGGGCAAAACCAGTTGGAACCATGTGTAAAAAGTGCTTGATGGAGAAACTGTTTGCAAGGGGGGTTTTCTTTTCCCAGCTTTGCACAAAGGGGCTTGCCTTTGCCAGGTTTATACAAGGGGTCTTCTTAGCATGCCTTGCCAGCAGCAGGAGCAAGAAGATAGAGAAGGTCAGGTGGGATGGCGGAGCACAGGGCAACATGGTTCTCAGAGAGCTGGGGTAGGGTGGGATGACTGTGACTTCCCAGGATGTGGCAAGCTGTTGTATACTTCTAGGGCTGCTTGCCACCTCACCAGGTAGAGTGCAGAGTGACCAAAGAGCAGAGATGCGAGAAAGATAGGCGGGAGAAGTTGAAGTGCCCCTGTGATAGGAAAGTGCAGGTGGCTACTAAGCACCCAAATTTTGATCACGGGACCCAGGGGTGCTGAAACAGCCGTGAGTTTAAGGGCTGGTTGTAAGTCCCTTTTTTCAATACAGTTGGGATTTCAAGCAGTTGAAAGAATAGCTGTAAGTCGAGAATTACCTGCAGCTTTTTAAAAAGAAGTTAACTCATACAGTTTCTGATGTTCCTTGAATCATTTTGATCCATACGCCAACCTACTAGCCATTTTCAGTGCAATGGCATGTGCAATTACCTTGTAACTTTTAAGCGTCACTAAGTTCAGTGCTAGTTATTTGACGTCATGTTTGTGTTTACATGATGGTTTCATCAGTGAGTGGCTGAAAAATTTATACTTGGATGAATAAAATATTTAAAAAGTTAAATTATTTTAAATTATTCTTTAAACTACATTAAAACCATTGGGTTCTATTCCTTCTCCTCCCCCCCCCAAAAAAAAACCAGTTAAAACTCTTGGTCATATTAGCAGAAGGAATTGCTATTACCCCACTAGACCTTTGGAGAATATTATCTGTACAAGAAAGAAAAAAGTCGTATTAGCAATTAATGTAAATTAAAAGAGCTGCTACCCTAAGGCTGTAAGTTTAAGAAATGTTTAAGTGTTTAAAGCAGACACATTTTACACAGTAAATGGCACTCTGAAAACGGAGGTGGTAAATAAGGTTCACTACATAAACACCAAGCATCAGTTAATTTATTCTCATTCCATACCTTCAGAGTACCTAATAACACATTTACTCCTAGTTTAAAGAATTTTTTTTAATAAGGGGTTGTGTGCTCATTTTCTGTCTGTTATTGGTTGTGCTTGTATTCCATATACATTATTTCTGGTAATTTAAATTGCAGATTTAATTTTCTGCATCACGCAAAGCTTTCAGTATTTTCAAGTGTCAAATTGCTGCCTATAGGCTACCACAGAAATTGGAACCTGAACTGCACGATGTCACATGACTGCATTGCTTAGTGATGGCATTCCCAGTTGCTATTGTAACCTCAGTACCATGCAGGTTGTTAAGTGAGGACCACATATGGCTGTGATGTGGGAAGAGGTGGGGGTCCCAGACAAGCAGGCTAGTGAATGAGAGCTATGGGCAGATAGGTACTATGGAACATGGACAGTTATTATTCAGTGCTACCATCACTGTAACTTTACACAATTGCTGGTTGTATCCCAAAGACCTCCTGTATTGCTTATTTTGAAGTGGTCATAGATGTAAAAGCAAATCTATAGATTGACATCATAGGTTTTCTGTTTTAATATATTTTACCATTAAGGTATTTTACACATTGAAACAACGAAAGCTTTTAATTTCTGTTTTACCTAAAACAATTATTTATTTAAAATTTGCAGAACTTTATTTAATCTTTGGATTGATCAGACAAAAGACAGCATGCAAAAATATTCTTGTCAACCAGTCAGTTCTTTTATATGAGGCACATCCAAGATAAGAAAGTATTGATTTCTTTGAGATTGCTTGCTTCAGATAATGATACAAGTCACATTTAGCTATATCATATGGAACTTCAGTTTCACCTTCCTTCTGAGTTCAGAGGAGGATGGAATGTAGCAAATTGCTTTATGGCCAAATTGCTCTACCATTCTGAGATTAGCTATCTTTTTATCTGGAATAGTTGTGTAATGTCTTTAATAAGCTGTTGTTATGTGTAAAGTAATTACTACCGTATTTTCCAGTGTATAAGACGGCTGGGCGTATAAGACGACCCCCGACTTTTGAGAAGATTTTCATGGTTTAGAAAGTCGTCTTATACGCCGGAAAATACGGTAATTTCATTTTAGAATTAACCAAGGACTTTAATTAGAACTTAGTGGCAAACTCTCACAGCTAGAACATCCACAGTATTCATTTCCCCTTAATTCTCTTGTCCCTCTAGAAAGCCTCACTTGGTAAACATGCCGTTCTCCCACATAGTAGTTTCTACCCTTAGTCTAATTCCTCATTGATTTTGCTTATGGGAAACTGGCAGGGAGTGTTGGAAATCACAATCATGTGACCATAGCTATGATGATGCCACAACTTTGCAAATACACCTGGGGTGAAGATCCTTGGAATTTCAATTACAAAGGAGTAATGTGTTCCTGTTTTTATACATAATCTTTAAGACAGCAGATTTGACGTACCTTGATTCAAAAACTGTTGTGCTGTGATGCACAGTTTGAATTAATTACAGGTTACAAACAGACAAGAGAGTTTTAGCATATATAGATGACTGGAAGATGACGTAACAGAATATTATGTTTGAATGTGGCCTTAAACTGCAGTGGGGGACAAATATTCTGTGGGTACAAAAAAAAGGGACATTGTTCGTGTTAGAAGTTGCTAATATCAGTAAAACAGGTGGATTTGGAGTTTCCTTAGAAAAACAGAATGCAAGCTCAGAAGAAATGAGTTAGCTCATTCTGTAGTTAAGATCTCCCCATATTGTTATCAGATCTCTCATTCCTGTAGTAAAGGGTTTTTTTATAATTTACCATGCTTTTGTAAGTTTTATGTATCATTTCTAGAAGGTGTATAACCTGTAACTCAGGGCTCTTCCTCATTCTTCTGGCAAGAGCCCAGTGATCACCTTAGTTGTACCTGAGGATAAAAGATACTTTGTTCCATCTGTTTCCCAATGCTTTGGTTCCTTATTTAAGTGAGCATTTTCCCCACACTTTCTAATGGTTATGTATATTTAAAAAACAAGCTAATGATTTTTTGTACAAAAAATAAATATACAAAGATCAAAACTGGCATCCCTAAATACAGTATATTTTAAGCAATGCTGTAGGCAGCCATTACTAAGCAATAATTTGTTTATTTTAAATGCTTGTTTAATCTAAAGCAGCATTGTTCCAAGAGGAACAGAAATACTAGTTTTATGATTTTTCCTATTTCCTTATCAGAATTTATTTTTTTTACAGGTGAAAGATCTCTTTCATTCTCTGGGAGTAGAATATAGTGCTCTGGAACTTGACAAGATTGGTAAGGATAATATCGATCTCTACAAAACAGAATTCAAACTTTCTCCAACTAGAATATGTAATAAAGTGGTACAACTTTTCCAGACTTTGTTTTGAACAAATAGCTCTTAAAATTCATACTGAAGCTTTTTGTGAATTTCTTCCATCTCTGGATTTATACGGTCCCTTCCCTCTCAAAAAAGTGTATATGTTGCTTGATAACTTGTTAAAAAATCATCTAAACTAGAGTCCCTCCAATTGGTACCTGTGGACAATTATTTTGTGCCTATCAGGTTCCCTGCTGTTCCTTTAAGCAACTGGGACTGGAATATTGTAAATCTGTGCCAACTCTTCAGCATCATTTTAACTCCTAAAATGCCTGACCCTGGGAGGAAAAAAAAGGTTGCAGGTAATTGTTTTCTTTGACAATGTAGAAAGACTTATGATAAGGATAAAGACTAGCAAGGATGATAGAGAACATTCTGTGGAGGATCAAACACTGGTAAGCCAATCATCATTTGTGTACATGGGGATATGTCTTGCATGCAATAACTTATGCTTTACATCATATCCATTCTTAATCTGTTCAGTTATATTGATCTGGCTTATTCTGATGAGAATTATTAACAAAGATTTTGCTTTGTTTCTTTCATATGTTACAGAGTACATAATATAACAAAAGATTTTTTATCACATTTTTCTCCCCCCCCCAAAAAGAATAAAAGATTATCTAAAAATGTTTTTCAAATATACTATACTGCAGTTTGGCTTACAGTTCTCTCTCTCTCTCTCTCTCTCTCTCTCTCTCTCTCTCTCTCTCTCTATATATATATATATATATATATATATATATATATATATATATATATATATGTAGCCCACGTAAAATTGGAAGTGTCTTGGCGACGTTTCGACGAAGTCCCATTCGTCATCTTCAGGCTGGTGCTTTCAGCTTCGTGCCTCGAGCAGCAGTGTGTGGTCTTGGCTGTTTCTTCCTTTTAACTGCCAGTGGAGGTCTGAACTGAGTGGGTGGGAGCTTGGCTGTGTTCTGATTGGGTGGAGGTGTGTTCTGATTGGTTAGGGGCTTGGCTGTGCTCTGATTGGCTGGGCCAAGCCCCTAACCAATCAGAACACACCTCCACCCAATCAGAACACAGCCAAGCTCCCACCCAATCAGTTCATACCTCCACTGGCAGTTAAAAGGAAGAAACAGCCAAGACCACACACTGCTGCTCGAGGCACGAAGCTGAAAGCACCAGCCTGAAGATGACGAATGGGACTTTGTCGAAACGTCGCCAAGACACTTCCAATTTTACGCGGGAGAAAACCCGAACAACCAAAGACCTACATACAAACACCCGCGAAAACCTCAGAATATATATATATATATATATATATATATATATATATATATATATATATATATATATATATATATATATATATATAGTTAATAATGCTAAAAATATGAACCCTGGGAGTATTCATATCAAGAAATAAAATGAACACCAGGGTAGTAAAACTATAAAAGTTTAATTAAAAAGCGCCAAGCTTTCGCTGTCCCTGCCGGCATCATCAGGGCTAGAGCGCCAGAAAGTGTGAGAGTTTTTTTATAGGCAAGTCAGAGTCTGCGCCCGGCTCCTCGATCTCGTCACCGGGCCTAATTGATTCAACTGCGCTTGATTGGTTTGCTTCCTCCTATTCCTCTTAGTTACGTGTGTGTTGTCGTCTCTCCTCCTTTCTTTCGATTCTGGGGTGGGTGGGATAACTCCCCTACCGTTCAAATTATCTCTGTTCTGAAAAAGAAAGAGTAGCCTTGAATCAACTCAGAAAGGATGACACCATTGTCATATTCCCAGCTGATAAGGGGAGGGCAACTGTTGTCATGGACAAAGGGGTGTATATAAATAAGGCGCTGGAATTGCTACAGGACAGTGCTGCTTATAGAATAGTGAGTAAAGATCCCTCCACTACGTTAAGGAACCGCACCAACAAGCTTCTTGATGACTTAAAACGGAATGGGAGGATGGGGGAAGATGTGTTAAAAAGGGTACGCCCTGGCGATTCAGCCCTTGCCAGGTTTTATGGTTTGCCTAAAATACACAAATCCAACGTCCCCCTCCGTCCCATTGTCGCATTTAGGGGTACGCCCACCTCTGAACTGGCCAAGTGGCTGAGCATACGTATCTGCCACTTGACCAGTAATAGTAATACCACTGTGAGATCGGCAGGTGAGTTCCTCAATAAAATTAGGGCCCTGAGGGTGGAGGAAGATGAACTCATGGTCTCCTTTGATGTGGTCTCTTTATTTACTTCTATCCCGCAAGAACTTGCGATTACAGCTTTAAGAGACCGGTTGAATCAAGGAGACCAGGAACAACATCAGGACTCCCTCCAGACAGAAGACCTTATAAAATTGATGGGAGTCTGCTTAAACACCTACTTCACCTTTCAGGGCACTATATTTGAACAGATCAAGGGAACTCCAATGGGGTCGCCGATCTCCAGCATAATAGCAGAGGTGGTGCTCCAACGTTTAGAACACATAGCGATGGCCCAATACCAACCTAAGTTTTGGGCCCGCTATGTGGACGACACGTTTGTAGTCGTCAAGAAGCAACACAAGACTGACTTTATGGGCATTTTGAATTCGGTATACCCAGACATCCAGTTCACCATGGAGGAAGAAAATCAGGGCACATTAGCATTCTTGGATGTACTGGTGCAGCGCCAACTGGATGGATGTCTGACCACCAGGGTATACCGAAAATCAACATGTACGGATAGGATTCTCCACTTTGAGAGCAACCATCCGACAGCCCATAAAGCCAGCTGTGTTAAAATCCTATTTAAACGCGTGGAATCACATTGCAGCACTGCCAAAGCAAAGAGGGAGGAAAGAAACCATCTTTTCCAAATATGTAAGCGCAACGGGTATCCGGCAAAATTTGTTAACCGGTTCAGTAAATCATCTGAACCCCGGAATAACCCTGCACCCCAAGAACCCACACCCCAGACAACCACACGAGTTACCCTCCCCTATATCCATAATATCTCAGAGGCTACAGCGAGAATCTTGGCACCATACAACATACAAGTAGCGCACAAACCAAATCAAACGCTACGAGCAGCCATCATGCGCCCTAAGGACCCACTCCCCAGCATGGAAAGATCGGCAGTCATATACAAGATTGATTGTATGGACTGCCCATGTAACTATGTTGGGGAGACTGCCAAACGGGTAAAGACCAGGGTCCACGAGCATAAATTGGCAGTAAGAAGGGGGGGACCAATACTCCCAGATATGGGCTCACATGGCAGAATTGGGCCATAGATTCAATTTCAGTGAAGTTAGCGTGCTAGCAAGTGACAATACCAAGGGAGGCCGCCTACTTAGGGAGGCGTGGCTCTCTAATAATAGCTCTATTAATCGACACATCGACCTGTGTCCAGCATATATGGTGTTAAGATCGTGGAGTGCGACCAACCAGCTGTCCCATTACCGACGACCTAATAACAACCCGGATAATATCAAGGAGAATATGCCAACCCCCCAACTGGCTCGGTGTAGGCCAGATGAGGAAGAGCAATTATGGAGCATCCCTACCACTCTTACAACACCAGCACAGATCCAAAGGAACAGCAGAATGAATCTGGCAGCCTGCCTACGCCTGGAAAGAAGCGAGGCAACCGATCTGGAGAGGAGGAGACGACCCCTCCACTCAGCTGAGACGGCCGGATTGAGGATGTGTGAAGTGCGGAGCGAAGCCAGCGACGGACTTACGGACGCTTTAGAGAACTCCGAAGACCCCCACGATGCGCACATGGGCATGAACGACGTCAGAAGGGAGAGGAGAGCGAAAGAGAAGCACGGCGGCACTCAAGAAGATCGTAATTCCACTACCTCCCCCAGACCGAGCCTCCGAATTATAACGCGTACGAAAGGAACACAGGAGGCTCAGGAAAGGGGGAGGAGGAGTAAGACGACTGAATGTAAGTACAGTCAGGGGACCACCCCCCCAGTAGACAAACAACCCATCAACCTATCCCAGATCACCAGCATATCGCAACCAACTCAGAGCGACTTACAGGATTGCCCAGATGACAGTTGGATGGGAGGAGAAAGTACTAAAGTTAAAAGAGAAGGCTATCGCAAAAAGAACAGCCAAGCGGAGGATGATTGGGAAAGGAAGGGGAGGTGTACATTACCACTCAAACCTGATGGGGAGGATGGGTTGAAGAACAGAGATAATTTGAACGGTAGGGGAGTTATCCCACCCACCCCAGAATCGAAAGAAAGGAGGAGAGACGACAACACACACGTAACTAAGAGGAATAGGAGGAAGCAAACCAATCAAGCGCAGTTGAATCAATTAGGCCCAGTGACGAGATCGAGGAGCCGGGCGCAGACTCTGACTTGCCTATAAAAAAACTCTCACACTTTCTGGCACTCTAGCCCTGATGATGCCGGCAGGGACGGCGAAAGCTTGGCGCTTTTTAATTAAACTTTTATAGTTTTACTACCCTGGTGTTCATTTTATTTCTATATATATATATATATATATATATATATATATATATATATATATATATATATATATATATATATATATATATATCGCGGTTATTCGGGTTTTCTCCCACGTAAAATTGGAAATGTCTTGGTGACGTTTCGACAAAGTCTCATTCATCTTCTTCAGGCTGGTGCTTTCGGCTTCGTGCTTCTAGGAGCAATGTGTGATTGTACCTGTTTCCTCCTTTTAACTGCCAGGGGGGTATGAACTGATTGGATGAGAGCTTGGCTGTGTTTTGATTGGATGGAGGTGTATTCTGATTGGTTAGGAGCTTGGCTGTGCTCTGATTGACTGGGGGGTTGGCTGTGCTCTGATTGGCTGGGGGAGTGTTCTGTTTGGGTGGGGGCTTTGTTGTGCTCAGGTTAGTCTGAGTTGCAGGGGGGGTTTAAAATGGTGAACTGCATTGCTATTTTTTTGGCTTCGCGTTCGTGATCGTGCCTCATCTTCATGGTGGGTGTCAGTTTGCTTCATGTATGGATTGGAGGGGTTTAAAGTGGCTAATGATGCAGCTGTAGTCTGGCTTCTGGTTTGTGGTCGTGCCTTATCATCGGTGTGGCTTTGGGTTTGCTTTTTGCGTGGATGTGTGGTGGTGACATCCTGTGTGGTTTTTGTGAGTGTGGGTCTGGTGTCATTTTTTGTGTTAGGGAGTCGTTTGTCAATAAGGGCGGGTTTCCAAATGGCTGGTAGGCGGGAGGTATCATCTCGTTTGTTCATGCTGTGTGGGCGTTTTTCTATCTCGATGGCTTCTCTGATTATTCTGTTATTAAAATGTTCAGTTTTGGCGATAGTTCTGGTCTTTTTAAAGTCAGTTTCATGTCCTGTGATTTTAAGGTGTTGGACCAGGGAAGAAGTTGGTTCCTCTTTTTAGACTGAGTTTTTATGTTCTTCAATGCGTGCACTTATTCTTCTGTTGGTTTGTCCGATATATGTGGTGGGACAAGTGGTGCATGGGATTTCGTATACTCCTTGATTTTGAACTGGTATAGCTATTTCGAGTTCCATTAACTCTCTTCAGAGGTGCATGGGATTTCGTATACTCCTTGATTTTCTAATTCAGTTATTCGAGAAAACCCGAATAACCAAAGACCTACATATATATATATATATATATATATATATATATATATATATATATATATATATATATATAACAAAGAATAAAGAGAGAACTGGTATAGCTATTTCGAGTTCCGTTAACTCTCTTCAGCCAGACTTACTCTTCTGAGATTCGAACCTGGGCTTATCTGCATGTTAGGCAGTTGTTATAACCTCTAAGCCACAGGTTCTCTCCCACTCTGTTAGCTATCAGGAGAGAGACAGGGGGAGGAGATTTTTACCTTGAATGTAAAATGATGTCGCAGTTGGCGACTGCTGCTTGTGGATGGCTCTAGATTGATACAGGCAAAAGAAAAAGAAAAAGAAGATTTCTTTCTCCCATATTTGGGCTTACAGGGTGTACATTCAAGGTAAATATATATACATACATACATACATACATACATACATACATACATACATACATACATACACACAGTGTAAAATAAAATAATACACTTGCCATAAGGATTTGGCTGAAAAATAACCACCACTTTGCTGTGAAGGTTCTGAGGTTTTGCTTGATAAAAAAAATACAGGAAACCAGAAGTTTCCTTCTAGCTTTACCTTTTTATTCAGCTGAACAAAGACGGGCTTCTCTAAAAGAGAGAAAAAGCCCCAAATATCAGAAAAGCCTTATTTTTATACCTTCTTTGATTATATAAGTAATTCACCCAGCAAAGCTGACACACGCAAGATAAAGACTTTGCTCTTTAAGGCTGGCTCACTGTAGATAAGAAGGAAGAAAGCAGAAGTAGCTAAAAATGTTCCTTTTTGGGTGGTTTAGGTGCTTCCCTAAGACACCTTATGTGGGTTAGGATATTGGGTGTTTCCTTTGCTGCCCTTTTATGACCTTGCATTCATGATTCTGCAAGTGGCCAGAGATAGCGGGGCCATCTGCACGTATTCACAATTGATACTGTCCCCTAAGTCTGGGTCAACAACTTTGAGGAAATACTTTCTCCATAAGCTAAAATTTCTGTCCTATGTTGCAATATATTTATGGTATTTCTCTTTAGCTTTTCATCTTTTGTTTGGTGGTATCTGTTACTGTATATGTTAATTGAGAAACCAGCCAGATAGGACAAGCAAGTTCTTGTCTTCTGTATAATTGCCGGATGTGGTAACTAAGTGGGAAGATGTACAGAACTTTGAACTACATCTCTGCATTCCTAGATTTTGAATTCTGTAAAACAGATTTTTATCTGTTAGCTTATTTCTGTTTTATTAAGTTAGCAGTGGTTGACTCTAGTTGTGTTGACCCAAACCAGTATGTTTCAAAACAGCTCACTCCTAAAAAGAACTTTACTGTATAAATCCAGTGATGGAATATTAAATAGGAATTATTAATTCCTAATAAACTTGTAGTGCAAGAAAACATTTTTTAAGAAAGTGATTCGGTCTGAATTTCTTTTCCACCTATCTTCCTTCTTTAGCTTGAAGATTTGGTAGAGATTTTGTTTCAGTTATATTTTATATTAATTGTGTTTTGCCTTATCTCAGCCTTAATAAATCTGATTGATTCTGTTCTTCATTTTATCAGGCCAGTTTTAAATTGGGACTTAAAGGTTCTTAACTTTTTGGGTTACTAGGCATAACTGGGTTTTTTTGAAAGCAAGTTCAGAAAGTTATATTTTAAAGGCACACCATATAAGTACTCATAACTCCTTTCTAGTTGTATTTTCTATGCATTGTTATGAGCCCAGAGGCATGCTTATAAGTAAAAATGAGTGATGATTTAATTCTAGTTTTCCCTTCTTCCCCCTTTTTTCCCCTTAATTACAAGAGCCCAAAACTATGTTTTAAAAATCTGGAGAGCTTGGCAGTTATCAAGGGTGGAATTGGTATACTAATCCTTTAACATTGTTTTGGGAATCAGTGATAATGAAGCTGTTTTGTTTTTACTAGCTATTATTGAGAATAACTAACTCTACAATATATGAAGCAAAATTAGCGCAAGATGGAATGGTCTTTCTTCTTTATGACTAAACTGGATGAGAACAAGAACATTAATGCTGGTTTTTTTTTTTTAGATTTGCTGCATTTAACTGTTACAAGTCTGAAGTCTCAAAGGTATTTTTTTCAAAAGGCAACTGGACTGCTTTTTCCCTGAGGAAGATATTTTGCTTCTTCTCTAAGAAGCTTCATCAGTTCTGGCAGGATGGTGGGGGCTAGTCTGACAGGACTAGTCAAAATTAATTATTCTACCGACCCACCATCCTTCCAGACCCGATGAAGCTTCTTGGATGAGAAATGAAACATCTTCAGGGGAAAAAAATAGTCCAATTGCCTTTTGAAAAGGTATTTTTGAGACAACTATGACCAGGATGACTAAGAATCTCCACAGACATTTACAAGTCTGAAGGACATTTTTATTCGTAGACTCTTAAAACATGTTTCAGTTTTAGATTAACCAGCTTTTAATGTGTACTTTTATATGGAGAATTAATAAGTCTTCAGTTAGTGAATGAATATTTTTATTAATTCTTTCAGATCTTGTTTTGCAATAGACATGGATATTTTAATTAGAGACGTCTTACTACTTGAATGGATCTTAACAGGCGGTGGTAGTGCTCTTTATGCTGAACAATAAATCAGTGAACTTTACTGTTATAAACTTTATTTTCCCTTTATAAATTCTAGATGATGGACCAAGTATCCAGGAAGTATTGCTAGAATTGACGAGCCAAAGGACTGTCCCCAATGTGTTTATAAATGGAAACCATATTGGTGGATGTGATCAAACTTTTCAAGTAATCTTCAACTTTTTTCTCTTATGTATGAAAATAACTGTGACTCACATTTTTAAGCAGTTCCCCAATAGATTACTTTCACAAATTCTGGTTATTACTGAAATAAATTATTGTAAAGAATAACATGCACACGAATATAGGATGTGTGCATTCAACATATTCTTTTTTCTTTGAAAATTGAAAATGTAGAATCTGCTTTTCCTAATATCTTTTTGTGTTGTTCTCTAGAGCTATATCTTACATTAATTGCTTAAAAATGAATTTTCTACTTGTAGTATTTATCATGTCTTAAAGCTCAAGAAAGCACTGATATTCAGTATGGTTGCTAATCTGGTTAGTTGTATTCTGTTAGCTAAACAGACCTTGATGATCAGCATCAAGATTTATCTAGTGTCCTTCTACTCATAGAAGCAAGTAGGGTTTATATGAATGGAAAGGGAATGAAGGCAATTTTCAGGATTCTTTTTATATTAAGGCTCTTCACTTTTCCAGACGATCATCTGACTTCTGAAGGGGAAATTGTAAAAGTCCCTTTCATTTCCAGAAATGTTCATGGGATCAAACAGCCAGCCCCAAAAGGAAGAAACCCATTAGATATAGCCTAAGAGTTATGTATTTGACATTTAAGAAAACTAATAAAAGATTCATCCTTTTTTAATAAGCTATGTTTTTATTGCAGGCTTACCACGATGGTACATTGCAGAAGCTTTTAGGGAATGGAAAGGGTGAAGAGATGGAATCGTATGATTATGACCTAATTATTATTGGTGGTGGTTCTGGTGGACTTGCTTGTTCCAAGGTATGTCATCAATGTTACTTCTATGTTTTAGTTTTTTAAAATTCAGATTCATCCTATTGGTTATGATAGATAGATAGATAGATAGATAGATAGATAGATAGATAGATAGATAGATAGATAGATAGACAGACAGACAGACAGACAGACAGACAGACAGACAGCTTCATCAGTATTTCATATTGATGTTGAACCAATATGCAAACCAGTTTGCTTACATCATAGTGTTAAGGTAGCTCTTGGGGAGATAGAGTGAAGCTGCAGTCCTACATAGAGTCCTATATGTAAACTTCATCAAATACCATGGGATATGTACCTTAGTCACTACACATCAGTTTTTGCTGCAAATGGATATAGATATTCATGTATTGGCCTTTTTTGGCCTGGTGATTTCCATATTGAACTATAATTTTCCTCAATCCGGTTCATTATGAAAATTTTAACTATTTAGAGCAGTGGTTCTCAACCTTTTAATGCCGCGACCCCCAACCGGTCATAAGTCGAGGACTACTCAGCTGCTCGTATGTCGAGGACTACTCAACTGGTGCAGCACCGTTTGCAGAATGGGACTTTTGGCGGGCTCAGCAGGGCAGAGATAGCCTGGACAATTCCTATTGGCTTTGGAAAGCCAATAGAATTAGACTCTATTCAAGAGAGTCTATTCTATTGGCTTTCAAAAGCCAATAGAATAAAAGGGAGTAGCACAGCTAAGGAAAAGGGGGAAAAAATGGCGGACTGCGTTGTTTGGCAACCCCTGTGAAATGGTCGTTCGACCCCAAATGGGGTCCCGACCCACAGGATGAGAACCACTGTTTAGAGTTATAGGCCTGTATATGGCAAACCCCAAATCTCCCTCCCAAGCCCCAAGTAGTGTGGTGCTACTTCATTGTGGTGATAGTGAGGGTTCTTGGGAAGGATGTGTGCAGAGTGCAAGAAATGTATCCCAAGAGCAAGTATGTTCAGCTAAAGGAAATTGTGAAGGAGATTCTATCTGCTCAGGTAAAGCAAGTAATCGCCTATATTGGGCAGCAGGGATATCAAAAAATGCTGGAGGTAGAATATCCCTTTACTGATCAAGGCAGAGGAATCATTTCATATTGCTCAGGAGAGGGCAGTGATAAATAACTCCTATATTTTAGCAAGGAGACCACATTTAATATTGGAGAGGACTCCTGAGAATTCCATGAATAGCTAAGAAAACAAAAAATAGATAATAGAACAAATCAAACCCAGAGCTCTCAGTCAACCCACAAATGACCAGGTTCAAATTGTTATAATGTAAACACCTCTTCTGAGAAATATATAATGCTGGAAAAGGAGAAACAAATGAGAAAAAGAGAATGAGTAGTAGCAAGGTGGATGGACTCAACTGCAGCAGTGACGGGTCATGGGTGCGCTGACAGAAGACTGAAAGAACAAGATTTGGGACAGATCTGTGTAGTCACTTACGAGTCAACATAGACTTGATAGCTCATAATATTGCAAAGACTGGCTTATGCTTTCTAAGCTCCAGTATATATTGTTCATGCATAAATTCATCTATTCCATCTAATACAAGCATTTTCTTTTCTTTTAAAAATTGGCACTTGATAATTTTCTGTATTTTTTGGAGGCCATGGGGGAAAATAAAGATTTATATCTATCGGGATGAAAATGACTAGAAGAAATGCAAAAAGCATCATAGTTGCCTAGGATATCTTTAGAAAGTTAGCCTCACCAGCCATTTAGGAGCGATAGGCCTTTTCCCAATTCCTAGTTATTTTACCCCTTTTGTAATGCTAATAAGGTTCATTCTTTTCTTCTTATGTCCATTTTTCTTTTTTGCTTGAAACAGGGTCAAGAATGTCTATACATTTTCTTATGTATTGTATGTGAGAGAAAGTTTCATATATACAGTTGAGATAAATTAATTTCATAAATGGATTCTTTATATGCAACTAAGTGTCTTGCAAAGTGATTAAAAAGTTAATGTAAAACAATTAAGAGGGATTAAATAAAGATTAAAAATCTTTAAAATTAAGTATGTGTGCAAAATCTATTATTCTGAGGATACTGCTCCAGCCATTCTAGAGATAATAATAATGATGACGACAAGAATCTATAAAATTGCTTAAATCACAATTTAATATGTTGATGGCTGATCAAACTGCAACTAATTTATTGTACATGAAACAAAATACATTTTGTAATGCTAATAAACCAGGGAGATGGTTGGCTTATCAATTGAGACAGAGACAGAGAATTATAGATAAAATAAATTATAATGGTAAATTGGTGCACCAGAAGGAGTTGATTAAGAAATCTTTTTTAGATTATTACCAAAAATTATATAAGAGTACTAAAGTGCAGGTTTTAGATATAGATAATTATCTAAATGGAGCCAACTTCCCTAAATTAACAGAAGTTCAGAAACAAGAAATTAATGGTTTGATTACTAGTGAGGAAATTGAGATGGTGATTAAAGAATTAAAATTAGGTAAAGCACCGGGTACGGATGGTTTGACATCTATTTATTATAAAACTCTGGTACAAGAGATGATTCAACCTTTAACTGAGCTCTTTAATAACATATTACAGGGTTCTGAGATTCCCCCGTCATGGGGCAGAGCCTTTATATCTCTAATTCCAAAAGAAGATCAAGACCTCACCTTACCAAAGAATTATAGACCTATATCTCTCTTAAATGTAGATTATAAGATCTTTGCAAAAATCTTAGCTAATAGGCTTATGAGGGTTTTGCATCATGTCATACATACAGATCAAACAGGTTTTATAACTGGAAGGTATATGAAGAACAGTGTTAGACAAATTATTAATTTATTAGAATATTTAGATAAAAATAATCAAGTTCCTGCAGGATTGATATTTTTAGATGCTGAAAAAGCTTTTGACCAATTGAATTGGCAATTTATGTTAAGATTAGTTGAGAAAATGAATTTTGGAGAGAAAAATTTACAAGCTCTTGGTGTTATTTATCAGAAACAAACGGCACAACTTATAGTTAATGGGGGTTTGTCAGAGGTGTTTACAATAGAGAAGGGGACTAGACAGGGTTGTCCACTGTCCCCGTTGCTGTTTGTTTTAACTTTGGAAATATTGTTGATTAAAATTCGAGAATCACAGCAAATAAAAGGAATAGAAGTTAATAAAAAAGAATATAAATTAAGGGCCTTCGCAGATGATTTGGTGGTTACCTTATCTCAACCTACTTATTCTGTAATAGAGCTACTACAATTGATACATCAATATGGACGGGTTTCGGGTTTTAAAATTAATAATAATAAGACTAAAATATTGCCCAAAAATATGACTAATCTGGACAAGCAGATATTGGTTAACCTGACAGATTTTGAGGTTGTTAGTAAGGTAAAATACGGGGGTTATTTTATCTGTTTCTAATGCAAAATTGTATAAAAATAATTATGAAAGGCTGTGGGTCAATATACAAAGAGATTTGAAAAATTGGGAGAAGTTGCAATTATCTCTTTTGGGAAGAATTGCGGCGATCAAAATGAATGTTTTGCCAAAGTTTCTTTTTTTATTTCAAATGATACCTATTTTAAAGAATGAGGTTAATTTAGATGAATGGCAGAAAGGTATTAATAAATTTATCTGGGCAGGGAAAAAAACAAGAGTAAAACTTAAAATTATACAAGACACTCATGAGAGAGGTGGACTCGAGGTACCAAACTTGAAATTGTATTATGATGCTGTGGTTTTAACATTAATAAGTGACTGGGTTAATTTAACAAATGTAGAAATACTCCTCTTGGAGGGTTAGGATTTACTTTTTGGATGGCATGCCTATTTAATTTTTAATAAAAAGGTTGATAGGGTTTTTAAATCTCATATTATAAGGATTTCTTTACTTCGGGTTTGGAGGAAATATTATAGAATTGATTTTAAAATTCCACTATGGGCTATCCCATGGCATGCGATAGAAGGGATAAGGAGAGGAGTTAGGATGGATAGCGTTTCTTATACACAATTACTTAGATGGGATGGTAAAAATTGGCAGTTAAAATCTTTGGAAGATTTAGCACGAGAAAACATTATATAATTCATGGTTTCAGTATAGACAAATAGTGGATAGGTGGAAGATAGATCGCAATGTGGGCTTGCTTAGAGAAGATGAGAATCTGTTTAAACAAATAAAAGATCAAAGACGAACCCACATTAAGAGAATTTACGGGGTGTTAGTAGAATTGAACTCAGAAGCAGAATTAGTCAAAGAATGTATGATTAAATGGGCACAAAATTTTGGTGAACCAGTTCTACTAGACACCTGGGAAACTATTTGGGTGAGGAACGTTAAATTTACACAAGCCCAAAATTTAAGGGAGAATTTTTATAAAATGTTTTATAGATGGCACCTTGATCCACAAAAAATGTCTCGTATGTATCCTGACTTACAGCCTAAATGTTGGAGATGTGGATGTTTGGATGCTACTTATTATCATATCTGGTGGTCGTGTAAAAATATAAAGGTTTTTTGGATTAAGATATGGTGGAATATTCAAAGAATTTTTAAAAGGAGGGTAAAATTTACCCCACAATTGTTTTTATTAGGTATTGTTACTGATTGTGATACCAAAGATACTACATTGATGTTAAATTTAATTACAGCTGCAAGGCTGTTAGTAGGGCAATGTTGGAAGAAGGAATCTTTGCCTACTTTGCAGGAGTGGTTTTTTAAAGTTTCTTACTTGGCGGAAATGGCAAAGATTTCGGCTTTCTTGAAGGATCAATCGCAAGAGAAGTATGTTGCGGTATGGAAAAAATGGATAGATTTTATACAATATAAGATGGATATAAAAAATATCATTTAGTTTTTTAATAACTTATATTGAAAAGGTAATTTTTTTATCTTTTTCTTTCTTCCTTTTCTTTATCTTTTCTTTTTTCTTTTTTCTTTTCTCTTTTTATGTATTTCTTTTTTCTTTTTTGTATTTATGGTTTATATATATATATTATTGTTAATTATCTTGTAATTTGTTTAAGTAATGTATCTAGATTTATTCATAGTTTATATCTCTTTTAAGATTTTTTGAAGAAATTTTAATTAAGCCTATATTCAGCTCTGGGAAAGTCGGGGGAGGTTTGGGGAAAGATTGTTTTGTTTTTGTAAAATTTTAAAAATTTTCAATAAAAAAAATAATAATGATGACGACGACAACAACAACATCAATAATAATAATAAAGTTGGGAGGGACCTTCGAGGTCATCTAGTCCAACCCCCTGCTCAGGCAGGAAACCCTATACCATTTCAGACAAATGGCTGTCCAGTCTCTTCTTAAAAACTTCCAGATGATCCAGCAATCTTCCAGAAGTTAACCCTCAAATTTGAAAGATTTTTACAATGTTCTAGATACCCAAACCACTTTCAGAGGATTAACTCCCTCGCAATGAAACCCTTGGGACCACTCCAGAATGTTCTGGAGTTTCCCAGAATGTTCTGTTCCCAACAAGGAAGGTATCTGCCTGAAAATACTGCAAAAATAGTAATGATCTTGAAAAACATCGCTATATATAGTGAATTGAATTAATTATTTTTTCATCTTTATTTAATCCCTCTTAATTTTAATTGTTTTATAACCTTTTTATCACTTTGTAAGCCACTTAGAGTCAATTCAACAGTGAGATGGACAGCATATAAATTTATTAATACATACATACACTTAACATGTACATACCAACGTACACAAGTGTGTAACCTGCATATGTTTATTAGAGAAGAGGAAATCACCAGGATTGGTTTTGACTAGATTTAATAATATGTTAATAATGTAGGGAAGCTGAGCAGTGCACAGAACTTCTTTTCTGTATTTATATTTTCTACTTCTGGTTTTGTGGAACCATGTTTAATTCTATTTATCATCCTTTTGAATAAATGTGATAAATGCTAAATTGACCTGTGACTTGGCATTTTATTTAAATTAGTGATTATTTTTACATTTTGTAACTCTTAAATTCTATATTTTAAAGTCATTATTTATTCTGCTTATCTATTGCTTATTTTTTTCAGGAAGCTGCCACCTTGGGGAAGAAGGTCATGGTCTTAGACTATGTTGTGCCAACACCATTGGGTACTACATGGGGTATGTTTCATGCTTGCATGGACTTTATTATTGGCACTTATTATTTAATTTGCTGACATTCCTGATTCTGTTCTAAATGGTTCAATAAAATTTACTATGTCTAATGAGTTCACAGATGTATCTTTGAGAAATTCATTGGTCAGCATATTTCAATTTTCTTTCAAGCCCATTTCTATAATTATAATTACATAAAAAAGCAGTTACTCATATAGCTATTTTCTTGTTATTTAAAAACATTTTTGCAAATATGGAAAATGTTATTTTTTCTGATGTATTAAATCTGCTTGAATAGGCACTTTGTATGTGGATAGATTTGATATGCTTTGACTTTCTCCTAAAATATGGCTTCCTGATTATGCATCATGTCACATATTTATATGCTAAATGTGTTGAACATTTTACAATACGTATTACTCTTGCTATTATTACATAAACTTTATATATGTACATAACTATAAGTCTCCTGGTGATTACATAGACAAGGCAATATTTTGGGAGGGGTTGTGTTTTGCTGTTGCATTTTTCTTGCAAGAAAGTGTCTGGCCAAACATTACCAGTGAGCTTTATCCCTAATAAAGCAATACTAGAATCCAGTCTCTCAGTGTCTTTAACTGCTGGAGCAAATAAGCTCTCCATATAAGTAGAATTAATTATAGTTTGGTATAAAGTATTGTAAAGAAGAAATTCTTGCTTGCTTACAATAGAAAGACTTGATCAGAAGTGAGTATAGGTGAATTTTTATTATTCTATCATGTTTTAGCCATACAGTGTGTTTTCATTCATGCTTAAATGCTAGAATTAATTATACCACTCTGCTATTACTTTTTTCCATGGTTCCTGCCCTTTTGAATAAATTTCCCCAAAAGATTGTATTGCCTAGCCCTCCTGATATCTAAGATAACCACTAATTTCCATTCCCCTATAAGTACATTAAAAGTTGTTTTTAAATATTGTACTGGAAAAATGTTACTAACAATTTACTCAGGCAACATTTTAGTATCATCATAGAACTCATATCTGTTGACCTCCTGATGTCAACAAAAGTCCATTAAGGGTTGTCATAGACAACAGCATAGCTATTTCAGTTTTGATCAAATAAACCAACTTATATTCCTTCCTTTTACCTTCAACAAACTTGATCTTTAGTCCCTTTAATGTCCTAGAATTTGATTTTTTTCTTTGCCCCTTTTTACAAAATTCTTCAAAGGTTTAACAAGACTCTTGTAAATCAAATATAGGAAAATTATCCGTGTGACTCTTGGTTTGTTATTTTAATTATTAAGAAATCAGCTTCCTTTCTTGTATATTTCTTTTGTATGTCCAATGTAAGATTTTTTTCCATATCATTCTTGTAGTTCTATCTAGAGGAGCAGAAATCCTTAAAATTAACTGAGTCTGTTCAAAAGTATCCTTCAACATGTTCAGTATTAAAATTTTTTGCTTCATGTAATTTTAAGGCGAGATTAAGTATTCTCTTTTAATTATGATTTTTGGTTCCCTCTACTTCTCTCTAACATCCTTTTTTTTAAAAAAAACCCAATTATTTAAAAAAAATTCAAACAAAAGCATTTTCTCATGGGAAAGATTCTTTATAACTAATTTCAAATCCTTATTGAAACTTATCTGGACTCTTAGGCTGCTTGTAATTTTCTAAAATCAACCATTTAACCACTCTTATTTTTCATTAAAATTGTTTTTAAATCTTCAAACTTGTATTTAAAATGTCTTTTCCTAAGTATTGAAAGAAATTCACCCCACGTTTAAAATTACTTTCTGTCAGTATACTATGTAGAGGATTTTTTTAGTAGCAGGTAGTCAGTGTATTACATGGCAGTGTGAGGGAAAATAAAGGTGTGTGATTAAATTGTCCTAAATTGTCACATAACATGATGATTCAGCCCAACTTATTTTTCATTTCATCCAGCAGAGATATTAGATTAATATTATTATCATGTTAAAAGGCAGCTAGGAAACATAAGCTTGGCTATGCATTTCGATAACATTTCTTAAATTCTGGTAATATTAAACAAAACAATTAAAATTGCACCTTCCATTTCAGGGCTTGGTGGTACTTGTGTAAACGTTGGTTGCATTCCCAAAAAGTTGATGCATCAAGCAGCTTTATTAGGTCAGGCACTTGAAGATTCAAGAAAGTTTGGATGGGAGTATGATCAGCAAGGTTTGTAAATTTATTTATCTGGCAATATATAAGAACTCATGGTGAGGCTAGGATGTAAAATTTTGAAATTAATGTATAAGTAGATTTTTCCCTTCATTGAATATTCTCAAACTTGGCAATCTGGTCTGAATAGACTTGTTCTGTACTTTGCCTTTTAAAGAACAATGAATATTCTTTATCATTCATATTTAGGTATGTATGTATGTATGCCGTGTTTTCCCGAAAGTAAGACCTACCCTGAACATAAGACCTAGTTTGATTTTTGGGGGTGGGCCTAATATAAACCCTCCCCTCAAAATAAGATCTAGTTTTGGGACAAGGTGCATGCCTAAAAATAAAGCTTTGGGGAGGGTGGGGCTACCCACTTACCAGGCCTCCTGTGAATCAACACCTGCCTCTCCTTCTGCGGCATCCCCCGGCTTGCATTTCGCAGTCAGAGGCCTTTCCGGAGCTGAGAACTGAGTTATGAATTCAATCCATAGCTCGGTTCTCGACTGCAGAGGCCTTCTGGAAAGGCCTCTGACTGCAAAGTGCAGGCCAGAGCTCCATTCTCAGCTGCAGAATGAAGCTGCTCCTTCGGCCGCAAAAGAAGTGGGTCAGATGGGTGGGGCTGTCATTGCTGCCGCCACGAGGTGAGTGGAAAAGGACACCCCCCCCCAAAAAATAAGACCTGGTTCCTCTTTTGGTAGCAAAAAAAGATAAGACCAGGTCTTATTTTGGGGAGAACATGGTAAGCATGTGTATTTTTTTCCCCATTCAATTGTATCCATTTATGAAAGACCGGATTAGTCCCTGAAGTTTTCTTTGCCATGAATACAGGTGTTCCTTGACTTAGGACCATAATTCAACCCAGAACTGCAACATAAATTATGTTGGTTGGTAAGCACCAAATGACTGTCCGATTTTACATCCTTTTTTGCAGTGATCACTAAGCCACCATAATGGTCATAAAGAGATCACTGCAGGCATGAAGTAAACACTGCCATTGTTAAGCAAATGCCTGGATTTTAAATATTTTCCAGATAAATATTGCACTATTCTTGTACAAGCACGCTATAAATTAAATCTGAATTAATCTGTTTGCATGCTATTTTATCTGTGATACTTGCATCTTTTTTCAGTTAAACACAATTGGGAAACCATGGTTGAAGGAATTCAAAATTACATAGGGTCTTTGAATTGGGGATATCGGGTGGCTTTACGTGAGAAGACTGTGACATACCTCAATGCATATGGAGAATTTATTGGACCACATAAGATCAAGGTACTTGCGGAAATTTACATAAGTTTTAATCTTCCAAAATTGGTTGTATATACAGGGTGTACCAGAAGTCAGGCCCCATAAATAATTTATTACATATATTACATTAAATGTTTGGACTGGTTGCCATCTGCTTCTAAACATACTCCTTTGAAAAACAAAAAATCATGAAACATTGAAATTAGCATATGGGGTCTGGCTTTTGGTATAACCTTTAATAGTAGAATGAAAAGTCAATTAAATGGGTCAAAGTGAATATGGGTCAGGAAAACTTGAAATTTGTTAACCTTGCGTGCAGTTGCACACTACATTATCTTAACTTTGAAACCACTCAAAAGACATTAAATCTATTAGTAACAAATAGAGACATGAGCATGTTATAATCAGTTTTGGAGGTACTTGTATAGAGTAGGTACAAAGTTTTAACTGAAGCTTTGCTAAAAGAAAAAAGTTCTAAGATTTTTATATCTTCTGTTTATATTAATTCATTTGCAAATTGATATTACATTATGCAACTTTCATTGCTGATTTTATCATGTGCATTTGAATGAGATGTTTTTCCGACTACTGTATTAAATTGAAATTGCATTTGATTATGAAGATTATTGAATTGAAGATCAGTTTTTAAAAATGCAAGTATCTGATTATGTTGCTGTGCTTTGCATGTTAATGTTACAATTTTTTAAATTACTTGAAAGAAGTTACTGTAGTAAAGCTACATATACGAGTAATGTAAAGTAGTGAGAATTCAAAGAGGCTTTCTATGCACTTGAAAGTTAGAAAATCAGCCTTTTTTGTTCAAGAGTAACAGAAATAGGTGTGGTGCCTGTCTCCTGCCTACAGAAAACTTGGTTAAGAAAGCGACTTTTTACTATAAAATATAAATATTTTTAAATCCCTGTCAGAAAGAGTTGAAACAGTATTTAATTCTCAATGAAGGATTTACATCCATAGCATAGCAACATCAATAATATACTTATTTAGTTGTTGGCTAAAGGCTTCTTCCTAAGAATTTGTGCCTATTTGTGCCTTTAGCTTGGTGCCATGCTGGCGTCCTGCCATCAAAGGACATGGGGAGAGGGATGGGGGTAACAAATAGGCAATAAACCTGTATGCATTTTTGTGTGGAAATTCAGGAGGAGGGATGACAGTTGAAGAAAAGCAGATCAACATGGAACCGATTAGTGCCAAGGCATCTTAAAGGCCTTTTGCCCTGAGTGAGGAAAGTGGCTAGCACAAATACCTCAACATTTCCAAAACATCATGTCTCCTGGTGGCATCGCATTGGCTGGGCTTGGACTGGTCATGGGGGGAGGGACAGGACTGAAGGAAGAGATCAGACTGGGGCAGGTCTGACAGTATGTTCCTATACTTGAATACCTGCCTGGAAATCTCATAAAAAATAAAGCAACAACAGTTTTTACTGTGTCATCAACATAAGATTGATTGATTATGTGCCATCAAGTCACTATAAACTGCCAGCAGCCACATACCATAGATTGCCAGTCTGTCATTAATCTGCTCTTTCAGGTTTTTCAACTGTGCATTCATTGCCATAGGAACTGAGTTCAACCATCTTGCTGCTGTTTGTCCTCTTCTCTTTCCTTCACCTTTCTCAGCATTAAAGCTTTCTCTGAAGCTAGGTCTTCACATTATGATCCAAAGTAGGATAGTTTGTGTGTAAGGCAACGTTGAATCAGTGTAGATTAAAATAGCCATATGTCATCCTGAACTCATTGTTTTAAGTCAGAACAATAGAAAATGATCAATCGAAACACAGAATATAGTAACCTTTGAATGTTCCATGCCCCATAAAAGTTTTAAGAGTAGGACATAATAAATATATACTGCTAGAAATAGCTTTTGGAAAATATTTCATGTCTAGAAGGATAGTAGATGTGATGCTGCGATTCATTTTACTAGGCAATCAACAGAAAAGGACAAGAAACTTTCTACACAGCAGAGACATTTGTTCTTGCTACTGGAGAAAGGCCGCGATATTTGGGCATCCCCGGAGATAAAGAATATTGTATCACGAGGTTAGTTGAAATGAAATCATTACTTTTTTGGTTTGTTGGAAAGAATGTTTAATTTTTTAATAATTTACACTAATATCGCTTCTTTCCAGTGATGACCTCTTCTCCCTCCCCTATTGCCCTGGAAGGACCTTAGTTGTGGGAGCCTCTTATGTAGCTTTGGAATGTGCAGGATTTCTTGCTAGCCTTGGTTTGGATGTCACCGTTATGGTACGCTCAATCCTTCTTCGTGGCTTTGATCAAGAAATGGCAGACAGAGCAGGTGCTTACATGGAAACACATGGAGTAAAATTCATCAGAAAGTTTGTTCCTATTGAGGCAAGTATTCGTCAGATTTTTTTTCTTTCCAGGATTGGGTGATACAGCAGATAAGCATAAACAATGATTTAATTTGGAATGGCTAATATACAAATCACAATAAAGGGTATAGCAATACAGTTTGCTGTAAGTTTTTTGTTCATTCTTCTTCCATGCAGGTTATAAAGCTAGAAGATGGTATCCCTGGAAAACTCAAAGTAATCGCAAAATCCACTGAAGGATCACAAGTGATTGAAGGAGAATATAACACTGTAAGACACTTTTGCATTTTTGTGCATATGGTTGGTAAATCTTAGAATAGAGTTTAGCAATAGCTGCCGTTGCTTTGATTTAATTGCTAATTTCTATCCATTAATAATGTTAAAGAAATCAGTTAAGAAAAGATGCTAACACTTTTGAATTTGTTTTATAGCAAAATCTATTGTGCTATAAATGAATGCTATCATTCAATCATGATTCATTTTATTTAGGTTTTGATAGCTGTTGGCCGTGATGCTTGCACCAGGACTATTGGCTTGGATAAAATTGGTGTGAAAATGAATGAAAAGTAAGAATTTGAACTGTTTTATTCCTGACAACCTATTCATAATATGTTTCAAATTCTATTAAAAAAACCAAAGAGAATATAGTCCACATGTTTACTTAGAAGTCCTGAATCTTAAGCATTGTGATCTTAGTTTTAGATTAGTTCATATTATGACTGAATGCTTGCAGTTTTTATTGCCAGTAATGAAAATGCACAACTGTTTTCAATTTTGAGATTTTCCATATTTTTTATTTTGCTGATTTTAGATAAGTATTATGAATAAAGTAGAAGATCCCACTTCCTTGAGTTAATTTTTTAATTTGTTATAGACAAACTCTGAAATTATTTACTTTGGAGAGAGAAGTGAGTTATGTAATGGAGCTGTGATTTTCAGTTGTTATCTTTTCCTTTCATAACAAGTAATGGGAAAATACCTGTGAATGATGAAGAACAAACCAATGTACCTTATGTCTATGCGATTGGGGACATTTTGGAAGGAAAGCTGGAACTTACACCAGTTGCCATACAGGCAGGCAAGCTATTAGCTCGCAGACTTTTTGGAGGAAGTTCTGTAAAGGTAAATGTATATTCTTAGTGATAGTAGTGAAAGACTTTTAAGTTTGGACAAAAAACCTGCAATCTTATATTCAGGAACTTGAAATTTCTGTGAGCTATTGCACTAAATTTTAGTATAAAGCTTAACAATTTTGGTGGAAAATACAACTAATCTGTCTACTGATTCTGAACTTAGTTCAAATGCAGTACAGCAGTAGCCACTGTTTTTCAAAATGTAACTAACAAAATTTTATTTATTTATTTGAATAAAATCTAACACAGGTCGTACATAGTACTATATAAATTCTTATGGGAATAGAACTGGGAGAAAGTCTAGATAAGTTACTACAGTAATAATGTTCAGAATTCAAATTAAATTGTTATGATGCCAGGCCACCATGGTTTGAAACAAAAAGCAAAACATTGAAATCTCTCAACTTAAGATTTGCAATAATTAAAAATACTAGCAATGATTGTAATATTTTGTTTTAAAAATCATCTATATTTTAAAAGTAAAATAGCAAAATTTGGCAACATTCATATGTAACACAGTATTTATTATATCAATTTTTTCAAAAAATTACATAAGAAACTTCTGCCTGATCTAGCATCACTGCTAAAGAAGGAAAAAAATAAGCCTGGGCCATAATATCACAACTTTTTCTCTTCCATAAAGTTTAAACATGCACATCCGTTACCTAATATTTCTAAAAGGGCTGAAAATTAAATTGCTTTTTTTATACTACAGGGTAGACCACTATCCATACATTTGGTCTTGAAATATTTAAAGTAGAATACAATTGTTGGCTTCTTTGCTACTGCTGTTACATGTTTTGAGTCCTATTGTATGCTTCTACTTTTAGTGTGATTATGTCAATGTGCCAACTACAGTGTTTACACCTTTGGAATATGGTTGCTGTGGCTTACCAGAAGAAAAAGCTATTGAACTATTTGGTGAAGAAAATATAGAGGTACACTTGAATTTTTTTATTTGAAAACCCATTACACAAAAAAATATGTATAACATACCACCAGCTATGTATGATCTGTTGTAATGTGATATAAACTCTACCATTGATGGGAATATACAGGTAGTCCTTGACCTATGACCACAATTCAGCCCAAAATTTCTGTTGCTAAGACAATACATAAGTGAGTTTTGCCCATTTTGTGACTATCTTACCACATTTGTCAAGTTAATACCTGCAGTTAAGTTAGTAATACAGTTGTTAAGTGAATCTGGCTTTCCCATTGACTTTACTTGTCAGAAGGTTGCAAAAGGTGATCACATGAACCTGGAACATTATAACTGTCCACAAATACATACCATTGCTAAGTGTCTGAATTTTGATCGTGTGACTATGGGGATGCTCCAACAGTCATAAGTATGAAAAATAGTCATAAGTGACTTTTTTTCAGTACTCATGTAACTTCGAACAATTACTAAAAGAATGATTGTAAATCAAGGATGAGCTATATATTACAACAGACCATCCAGTTTTACACAAGCTAATTATTTTAATTTGCATTGCATAAGTTACTATTTAAATCCGTTTTACATACTGTGTATTTTCAATCACCAATCAAAATGATTTTAATATATAACACAAATAAGTTTTCAAAATGAAGCAATACAACACTAAGGCCATTGTTATCAGGCAAATTCAAAAAACAGTCAATTGTGACTGTAAGCCATACGACTGGTACTCCAGTTAGTAGTTACAAAATTAGTTGGGCTTTTTCCCACTTTGCCTAAAAAAAAAAAAATCTGCATTCCATGTCCTTTTGATTCAGTGCCCCTTCAGCAAAGTGCTTTGAGCCAATAATTTCTATTTTGATTGCTTCTTGAATCATCAAAATCCAGTAATGGAATTCACAAGGGAATTTTTTTTCCTAGATACATATAACTCATTATTAGTGTCTGCAAAAGGTTATCCATACCAACTAATACTTCAGTTATCCTCTTGAAACCCTGATGATCCATGGTTTATTTCTGCAGCCCACTGCAGGATTTCCCTTCCTCACATGTAAGCGAGCTGCCTGCTCTCTTTTGCCAGGCAGCTCTTTTGCTGTATCTACTTAATGACCACAAATGGGAGAGACAGGATTGCAAATACTGAGTGAAGCAGTTACATGGGCATCTTGCTTAACAACCACTTCATTCAACCACAAAAATTCCAGTCCCAATTGTGATTGTCATTGAGGACTACCTATATTGGATCCCAGTGTCATTCAGCAAGAAAGTATATATGAAAATTGAAAAGAAGCAATCTAGAAATAAGTAGAAATTTCCTGGCAGTTAGAACAATTAACTGGTGGGATAGTTTGCCTTCAGAAGTTGTTGGGGCTCCATCACTGAAGGTTTTTAAAAAGAGATAAGACTCACTTGAGCAGGGGGTTGGACTACAACACCTCCGAGGTTCTTTCCAATTCTGTTATTCTGTTAAAGGTGTGATGAGAGAAATAAGGCAGGTATTGAAGACCATGTCAGGAAGACATTGTAATCAACTGAAAAACCAAAGTATCCAAAATAGTGGGGGGGGGGGTTCAGAATGGGACCACCCTAATAATCTTTTTTGGTAAAACAAGACAAAAGAATTCATGCTTTCACTTCATAGTTTAGACTTCCGCCGTGCCAACCTCTAACTTTAGTCATCAAATGCCCATGATGTCAAACACAATAGATGCATAGATTAAAAAAAACTATATAACAGCTGAAATTTGTTTTTCTTCAGGTATATCACACTTACTTCTGGCCACTTGAATGGACAATACCAAATAGAGACAACAATACCTGTTATGCAAAAATAATCTGCAGTAAGCTTAACAATGTATGTATTTTGCTCTAAAATAATTTTTTATGTTCATATCTTCAGAGATAATGTTAGGTGTATATGAATTGCTCTACTGATATTTACAATAATCCTAAAATATTTGTTGTAGGTTGGATACAAAATCCTTTCTTAATCATGAGGGTTTTTTCAGAGGCCTGGGATCTGGTGGAAATGATTGTTAAATTAATTTTTGCTGCCTCCCATTATTCTGAAGCAGTTTTTCCATTAGGGAAAGGGATCATCAAGTAGAATGTGATAATGATAATTTCAATGTTTATTTTATTAGTAGTATCACATGTAGAATTTCATTCTTTTTCTAATTCCTGATCCAAACCATCTAATTGCTTTGAAATACCGTTATATATAAAGCTGTTAAAATACATACCTATATAGGCTTCCCAACACACTGGCTTATTAACTTTATTAAAGCCACTAAGAAGACTAGATATCAAAATAATCCATTTGATCATAGAAGTTGATGTAGAAGTTGAATTAAATAAACTCACAAAACATGCTTTCAACTTGAATAACTTTATACTGCACATATAAATATGTATATTTTATATGCATTATGTATATAGATACATAATTTCACAGGTCTTGCAACTAATTTTTAAAAAGTGCATAAATTATATTCCCATATTCTGCTTTTTCCGTGTATTCTCACAAATCTGGATTAAAGTTTCATTTTGTCTCCTAGTTTTGGGTTATTGGAGGGGTTTTTATTTGTGTCTTTTACATACTCTAAATTTAACATAGTGATGATATAATTTTCTTTTCTTTTCCTAATTTAACAGGCAATCCAAATTTTTTGACTATACTTCTATTACCTTAGAATTGATCCTACATGTACCAGGTTTTTTTTTTTTAGGAAGCAGATTAAAAGTTTAAAGTTTCTATTATTTTCAGCAAAATTAAGTGCTAGCATATGGAATTTCATCATCATTCTTAGTAGTTGTAGAAAGGGAGAAAAAAATGAAGTAATTGAACTCTATTCTTGTCTCTTCCTCTACCTCATACCTCCTAATTACAGAACCGTGTAATAGGATTACATGTACTTGGACCGAATGCTGGGGAAATAACCCAAGGTTTTGGGGCAGCAATGAAATGTGGTATCACAAAAGAATTACTTGATGAAACAATTGGTATACATCCAACTTGTGCAGAGGTAATAATTATAATGTTTTTTAAAAATATTGCTTAAAAGATGTTGCGTATTCACCCTGTTATCTTCTAAAACAATAGTAATCATTTCAGGTTGAGTTACTTTTTGTTTAGGTGTCAGCTTTGCCAGGTAAGCCAGATAGAAATCACAATCAGATGAGTTAATTGCACTTCATTGTAAAGCTGTATTGACAGTATCTTGCAAATCTGAAAGTACAATTCCCCTCCCCCCATCTCCTCTACAGCTCCTTTATACGAGGGCAATTCAGAAATAAACCTCCATTTGGTTATCAATGACAGACACTCGCAGATACAGAACTTTTATTATACACATTAGAAAACTACAACATTACATTACTTTTTGACATAATTGCCATTCAAATTGAGGCACTTGACATAACATCTTACAAGGTTTGAAATTCCTTAGTAGTAGTCACTCGGTGCCAACTCTTGGCTATTGGGGGCGGGGGTGATCAAAAACATCCAACGGAACTGCTTCAAAAGTTCTTGGGTGTGTCTAGCAGTGTACGGGCAAGCATTATTGTGAACCAACACCGCACCGGAAGTCAGCATGCCCCAACGCTTGTTATGGATGTCTTGTCTGAGTTTTCGTAATGTTTCATAGTAGACTTCTGAATTGATGGTTGAACCACACTCCATGAACTTCACTAGAAATACTCTTTTGGCATCTTCACATTCGGCGGGATTTTCTATGGCACTACTTCCGTTGTGTTGTTGGTTCACGATAATGCTCGCCCATACACTGCTTGTTCTTTTATAAAGAACAGACAATATTTGATCAGATATTGTTGACCTCTGATGAAAAACTGATTAGGAAATTATATAACCTTTTATTAAATTTGAAAATGGAGGATATAATCAAAAGCATTTTATATGCTTTGTTGTTAGGATTTTAATCTAGTTTTGCTATTTCATTCTCTTACAGGTGTTCACTACAATGGGAATTACCAAATCTTCAGGAAAAGATATCACTCAGAGTGGTTGCTGAGGTTAAACCCTGCTGTTTAAACTATTTTCTGATGGGCCACTAACCTATTGAAAGTTTCATAATGCATACCAAATACACGGGTAAATAAGTAATATGTGATTGTAGTATTTTAATACTAGAGATGATGCATTTTTGAACTTCTATAAAAGATGGTGGTCTTTGCCAGAAATAGTAAAACAGCAGGGTGAACATTAATCCTGACATAATTAGAATGGCACACAAGTGCATTTTTGAAGTTATGGCTCTGAACCTCATCTGAAGGCGAGTCATGACTGATGATTTCTATGCAAGTTGGGAAAACCTATTCGTCCAGTCAAACAAGTAGAAAAATTTATTCCAGAGAAACTTCTGAATTGCACAGGTGGAATTTTTTAGTTTCAGTGGTTTTGTATGAACACTCAGGCACAGTTGAATGTATGGTTGATAAATTTTGCTAGCATGCCCTGTTAACATTGTTGAGATACTAGTGCATTTTGTTAATTGTTAATATGAATGCTGAGGTTTGTTTGCATTTTTTATAAATATTCCAGTTCATTTATTAGAATCTGTTAATGCATTGCATTCCCCTGGGCATTAAAGTTCCAGTGACATGAAATATGATGTGTGTTTTTTGTAAATGAAATCCTTATAATTCTAGTCATCAGAAAAAACAGTGCTAACACATGAAATTATCTTTACAAGTTTTGGGGAACAGTTACTATTTTGGCATTTCCCTTTAAAAAAATCTTCCATCCCCCACATATATTCTAAAATATTCCCAAATAAAATTGAAACCATCTGCTTATGTTTTCTGTTTGTGCAGTAAGCAAATAATTTCAGCCATACAATGAATGTATTTGGTTAGGTTGGTAGTTTATAAGTACGTTGCCTCAACTTTGCCATAGCAATGACAATTAGGCATTGTGCTTTGTGAAATTCCTATTACAGTAAATAGTTTTAATCTGTGGAGATCTCCTTGGCAATCCTCTACTTGGGATACTTTGAGGAGGAGTTAGGCCTTTGGTGTCCAAATATATATGTTTTAAATGCTTCAATTCAAAAATTGTATTGCATAGAGAGTTTTAAACTATGATGCATCATGGAGAGAAGTCCAATAAATAAGCAATGTTATGTGTGTAAACTGTTATATTCATTAAAAAAAGTGCAGCTTTTACTAAAATAAGTATGCATTTGTATTCTTCAAAACTAAAAACATGGTTTCCAGGAGACATGTAGATGACTTTTTTTACCATGGGGTATAAAATGGGATTTTCTGTTCTGTCTGAGGGGTGCAGGGATCTGGGCAGTGACATTTATAGGAAATGACTTCACCCTCACGTTGAGGAGGAAAAGAAGTTTTAAATTATTTGTATTTCAGACTGCAAATATTAATCTTGCAGAGATTTAAAACACCAATTTTGTCTCTTAAACCCCAGATGAAAAAAATCAGCCCAGAACTGAGGGGTGTCTCCATTACTGTATTTACAATAAGTGTCACATTCAAGTACCAATACTGTTACGTAACAACCACAATATAGAAAAGACCAAAACCTTCAACCCTTCTCTAACTTAAAATGGGTGGTAGGGGTTCTTGATTACCTTCCTCACTCTCACTCCCATTGAATCATAACTATTGTACATTCTCAAAGAGATTTCCAGGAATATGCTAATATTTCAGATAGATATCCACTTCTTTCTTGAGATAGTCCATTCAAATTTTCTTATTAATTGTTATGATGCTTATGGGCAGGTATAATACTTTATCTCACTCCCATGTTCCATATTCCATAGGGAATGAAAGCTCTCTGCCTCACCCAAATTCCCCATGCCTGCTTCTGCCTGTTTTCTCCGATTTGCCTTACTTTCTCATATCTAGTTCCAGCTCTCTAACCACTGGATAAAAACAATCTTTCATCAATAGCTGATTAGAACAACTTCAAATTGTAGAACAAATTGTTGAATGTTCTACTGTTGAATTATTTGGAAACAAGTTTACAATTTTGAAATTAGTTTCAGAGCTGGATATTTTTGAAAGGGGTTACTTCTAGGAGAGATGAATTATCAGACCTGTTTCTAATGTGGTAACCCTACTTGAAAAATCATTTCCTCCACATTTCCCCCACATTCTACAGATGTATTCTAAATATGTTGATTCAATTCATATTTTAAAGGGGCATCATGATATTGTGAGAAGTTTGGGGAAGTAATGGGAGGAATGTTAGACTTCACCAGGAGATGGAAGGAGTTTGTTAATATCTGACAGTTCAGCCAGGCTGTGAAAGCCTCCATCAAGACTACTGTAGATAACAAAATATCTGAAAATAGTCTATGTTAATGAATGCACTAATAATGAAGGCTGGAAGTCTTTGTGGCAGTTTCCAAGAATTTGTACTTGCATTAAAAAGTGTTTGTAAGTTCTGTAATTTTGACTTTGTTGACCAGGTTTAAGGCTTGAAGTTAGTCTATTAATTATTCAAATATGTATATTGAATATAATGAATGGCCAGTGGTAAGGTTAGTTAAAAATCTAAACATTTCTGAGCCATACATAGCTTATGCAGTTAAAGATATCCATGACAGAGGAAACATAATTGGAATGTGCACCCAGAGGCATAATGGATTTTAGGTCCTTCAGAACAAGTTCAAACAATTTAAATGATTCATTTTAAAATAGGAGAGGTGGTTATTTCTTAAATGCTAATTAGTGGATTAGTAATTCATTAAAAGTAGAATGTCATGCTACTTGCTTGATTTCTACAACCAATAATTAAAGCTGAGATATACAAGTGCATGTTAATATATACTTGAGCGAAACTGCAAAAACAAGGGTGCTTACGTCAGACAGATTTTTAGTTAGAGGTATAGTGTGGAAGGACATAAAGGACAGCCTGTGTTCCTTCCTCCACTCACTTCTTGGCCCTCCTCCATCAGAACGACCCAGCTATAAATCAAATTGCAGCACTGGACAAGAGGTGAGAAGGAGAAGCAGAAATAATGGCTGCCTAGGAGCTCTGCAACCTGGCCCTCACAACAAATGGGCTGAATAAACAGAACTAAAGCCCAGGAGTCAAAACTAAAACTAAACCTTCATGAGAAAAGGCAACAGGATGGGACAACTTGAAAGGGTGTGTGTGTTTATTTCCTTTCCTCACAATGGTGTGAGGTAAAAGTTCAAGCCATTTTAAAAACTCAAGAAGCCTAGCAAGGAACAAACAGAAAACACACAGACCTATTTCTTTCACAGAAATAGAAAATAGAGATTTAAAAGATAGATTGAACTCTGTAGAAAACATTGTACAACTATATAGAGCAGGGGTTCCCAACGGGGTGTGACCAGGGGGTGCAAAAACTTGGGTTTTCAAAATTATAGTGTATATGTATAATTTGTTGCCATTATTTCAAACTTTTGTAAGGGGTGCGAGAATATATCAAGCATTCTAGGGGTGCGGGGTATAGAAAAGGTTGGAAGCCACTGATATAGAGTGACAATAAAGATATACAGCAATTTTTCATTCAAGTTGTGTACAATTCTCAAAGACCATCTGGACAAGTTCTTAAAGTTTACTTGGCATGATTTTTCAGAAGTTGTTTTCATTGTCTCCTTCCTAGGGCTGAGAGAAAGTGACTGGCCCAATGCCACCCAGATGGCTTTCATGCCTCAAGAGAGACTAGGTTTCTAACTGATGCCTTAACCACAGTTCTTAAGAAAATAGAAATATAAGTCATCAATAAATATATTGAGATATAAAATAGATGTGAAGATATAGTGAAATTGGACTTTAAAGAGTAGTATAGATAAAAATCTTACAGAAATTATATATATAATAGAAAAAAGTTGTATTAAGATTCATTTCTACACTAGTTGACAACATTTATAACTTAAGATTTGTTTCCAATGCATTGTGTGCATTGAATCTGAGTCAATCTAATTATTGCAGGTTCAAAAAAACCTCAACATGTTAGCAATCAATTTAGTTTTAAGGGCAAAAAATTGTGCAAGTAAATGTTAGAGCAGTGATTGAAGCCTCAAGTTGCTCAAACATTTCAAATCTACTATTTTTTCTACACAGGAATCCTAACATGGCTTCTGTGGAAAAATTCAAAATATTTCTTTTTTAATTTCAAATGAATGGAATTATGTGATAGAGGTTGGTGGTTTAAAAATGCAATAAATAAAATTCCAAATATTTTTTATTGCCAGAAAGTACTGCAAGAAGGTATTCAGAAGAACTTATGATAAATGAAATTGCTGTTAAAATATAAAGAAAACATTACAAAATAATAACTGTAACTGCTGTATGTCAAATCCAAATCTTATTTATAGCAAGATTTATGTTCAAATTTTTGCACCTCTCCTACCCAAAGTTATCTAATGCTCTGACTCAATGTTTCTCCACTTCAGCAATTTTAAGACACATGGACTTCAGTTCCCAGAATTCCCAAGCCAGCATGATTGAAAAACACTCGTCTGAACTATCCTCTTTGGGGGGGGGGAGGCTTGGTTTTCATTTATCCCTTATTTGGTTTTTCAGTAATGGACAGTCCTGCTACATAGTTTTATCTGACCATGTGAGAGCTAAGTCTACTGGCTAATAGGACAATCAGGATTGCAGGGAAAAAAGCATTTCCCTCTATCCTCATCAAAGACTATTTATTTTTCAAGGCACTACGCAATTTAATTAGAACAGATCTTACACCTACCTTCTGACCTGGAACTACCAATTTCAATATCTAAAATGCTGGCCTACAACACTGGCTAGAATCCAACTCATGCACAATTCACAATGGCACACCTCTACTTGTATCAAGAGAAACAGACCTATGAGTCATCACATGCTGGTAGCATCCAAGTCCTTAACCTCATGTAGAAGGTTCATCTAGCTCAGTGGTTCTTAAGCTGGGCAATATTGCCCCCCAGGGGGCAATTTTGTTTTTCAAGGGGGCAATGGAATGAAAAGGGGCGATGTGGGGGTGAAGGAACGAAAAGGGGGCAATATGGGGGGCAATGGAGCGAGAAGTTTTGGGGACACTTTTGAGATTTTTTCGTACAGTGAATAGCTGTATATCTGTCATACAAAAACATCAGATGATCGCTATTAGTGGATTGAATTGTGTTTTCAAATGTTCCTCCAGCTAGCTTCAGTACAGAACGCCATACATATGTGAATATGCATCGCTTATATTCATGTGCGTTGCGCAACAGCCTCTACCCATACAGTGGCATGCCATTGGCCAGAATATGGGAGATATGGGAAAAAGACTGGAAATAAATTATTTGCATCGATATGTCCTGATGACAATTTTAAAGAAAGCAAAAAAAGTGTTTGCATAAATTGAAGAATTATTTCCTATGTTGTGATTGAGAAGTTATGTTGGGGGAGGGGGCGATGACAACTTCCTCATTGGCTCAAGGGGGCGATTAGTTCAAAAAGGTTAAGAACCACTGATCTAGCTGGCAAGAGAACATCTGGAACCTGCAATTTGAACTTCCTTCAAATCGGCATGAACCTGAGCCTAATAGTTGTACTGGCATACTTTTCCCGTGTTATTATTGTCTGAAACAAAAACATAGCTAATAATTGTGGCACCATATCCATTCATTATGCTATTATAAGAATATTAAATAAATTGTAGAATGTAAAATGGGATTAAAAAGGGTGGTTAGAAGCTGTGTGCAGCATATAGACTGCCTCCTTCCTCAATCCTTTTAAGGCATAAAAATTATGTCACTTTTATTGTATTTTTATTATACTGTGGAGAACCGTGGGTAAAATCTAACAAAGAGCAATATATACGTTTCCCCAGGAAGACTCCAGAGTCCAGAACTAGTATCACATAGAAACAATATTGTAGTCCTGCACGAAGCAACTCAATGCTTCCAAGGGAAGATACTTAATTTATTCCAGTTGAAGGCGATTATAAATTGTTTTAATTCAGCGGCATGAGACGATAGGGCGACGGTCGTGCAATCAAGGGGTAGGTAGAGTTGTTACTATGCCGATGCCTCGGTCAAGTGCAACAGGGGCGCGGCTCTAATCCACAGGCATCTGACCGATCATAAAGTTCACGCGATGAAGGGAAGAGAACGCCGGCGCTAAGGCTCAGTATAAAAAAGGTTTTGCTCTCTCCAGTCCGAACGTCCTGCTCCTTCGCAGATCGGCCAACTTTTCACAGACAGGGCAGTCTGAAGAAGACGGTACTCCGTCCGCTTCAACTCGTCCTTTCTTAAGGCTACTTTCAGCAAAAGTCTCCAGAAGCTTCAGAATTTGATCTTGCCAAGAAAACTTCCACGTTGGTGGCAAACATTCCGTTAAATCACCAATCGCAGACTTCCATTTTCCAAATAATTCATTCTTCTGTAGCGGCAAAGCCAAGGAAATGTCAACCACGGGTGGCTTCTTTGGCAGCGATGGTTATCTATTTATTTATTTATCTATCGAATTTCTATGCCGCCCATCTCCCCTGATAAGGTGATTCTGTTGGAACTGCAGTTCTGAAGATGTCCCCATCCCGCCACCTCCGCTTCTCCTTGCGTGGAATACCTTCAATAAAAGCGTGGCTAAAGCGGGCGAGCGCAACTCTCCTCTCGCTCGAACGTCGAGTTCTATTGGCTCCGCCCCCCGCCCCATTCCCCCGCTTGCTGGGAACTTTTTAATAGAAGGCGGCGCGCTTGCGAATTACTCTCGCGTTCCAACTTGGAAGGGTGGGCGGTTGTCTAGTCTCTCGCCTCCTCCTGATGAAGTTCTCTGGCAGCCTGTTTGAGCCGCCCCTGGAGAGTTTCCTTGACACACTGCGTGGATCTCTCCCCCGCCCCACCGGGAATCCGAAGTTTCTCCCAGCGCCAACTCCAGCACCTTTCTTCTCCTCACCATTGGCCATTTTATCCCGTTGCTTTGAGGGACATAAACAGAGCTCTCTCCCCCCACGCCCTTCTCTTATTTCTTGGAAATCTCGTTGTTTTAAGCTGAAGCAAGCACTTCTGGTAATTGGAAGAAAGCGAGTTGATGGGTGGGGGGAAATGAGCCTAGGAGCCCTTCTATTTTTTGTTGAGGGGTAAATCCTTTTGGTACAGCTAATAGGAAACTGTTCACAGTGCAGTGTATGAGTCAGGACTAGGTTTCGGGAGAAAACAAATTGTCGATAATAATTGTATATATCTATACAATATATACAATGGTGTATATATATCTATATAGACTTATAGAGATATAAGACTTCTCCATTGGCTCTTGTGAACCAAATATTTCATATTTTTTCGCCACAATAACAACCTTGTGGTAGGCTGCTAGAGGGTAAATAACTCAAATCATCCAGTGTAGTTGAAGGTGGAATAGAATCTGGATCTCTCAATTCCTAGTCCAACACTTTAATCATTGAACTACACTTTTACTTTCTTCCAACTTTTATTCATTCCACTTGTATAAAGCTGATCCCAACTTGATAGCACATAATCAGTGCAATACAGATTCAGTGGTTGGCAATAATAATAAGTTTTTAATATTATTTCCTGGCTACAGTCACTTATCTCTGTGAATTTGGAACCTAGGAAGATAAACTTACTACTATACTTTCTTCTCCACCTAGTTATATTGGGTCGGTATTGCCTCTGTCATAATCATATTTCTTCTTTCACTTCACCTATATTTTCTATATTAAGAATTAAAATTGATGCATTTGTGCTATTTCCCATGATTGTTTGATGGGGTTTTAATGTTTAGTACAATGATAGCGAACCTTTTAGAGACCGAGTGCCCAAACTGCAACCCAAAACCCACTTATGCATCCTCGGGTGCTGGGTGGGTGTGGCCCATTGGGTGTGGCCCATTGGGTGGGTGTGGCTGCGGTGGTAACAGCAGACTGGGTGGGACTAAAAAGTTCAATCAATTCCAACTTTGCAAGATCTTTTTTTTTTCCACGAGAAGTTGAAATTGACTGATTGATTGAACCTTTTTTTTTTTTTTTTTGCACACGGCAACGGAGGCCTAAAGTGAAAAGGTTTTATAAAACCCAGCTGAAGGCCTAGGACTGGGGTGACCTGGCGCGTGTGCCCACAGAGGGGGCTCTGAGTGCCGCCTCTGGCACCCGTGCCATAGGTTCACCACCACTGTTGTAGTATTTTCAATATAGTCTGGCAAATTATTTTGATTTCTTTTGCTTGTACTCAGTGCCCAGTTGATCAATTCTTCTGACTAATCTTGGATATCTAACAACTTTTGGCATTTTCTAAGTTAAATGCTTTAAATATTGTATAGAATTATTTTTCAATTAGAAAACCGTTTTCAAGATCTAAAATACCTCTTTTGAGATTAGTTGATGAAAAAAATTAGGGTACTGAATATTTTGCATTTGATCAGATTTTTATAACACTCTCTCATTAGCTGGACAGAATTAGCCTGAGTTGAACTCTGGTTTTCATCAAACTCTTATTAAAATAAATGTGTGGCACTTCTACTTTATTAAGGAAATTTATGTTTTGTTTTTAATTTCAGGTAAATGCTTCAGTAGTTAATGACTGCATTCTTGCGTACCAGAAATCTGATTAAGCCAAGATTCCTTCTGGCTGATCATCAGGCTTGAGAATGGATGTTAATCAAACAATTGTCAGTGCTATTAAAAAGCCGAAAAAAAGGGGTGTCAAAAATAAAAAGAAAAGGTGAATTTGAAGTTATAATTTTTACATGAAAACATGTTTGCATCTTGGTTTTGTTTTTTCCTCTTGGGTTTATCTTCTTAGTGTTTTATGTTTGAATAGTTCATAGATAGGAATGCTTAGTTACAGTATTGGCTTTTTCTTTTTCTAAAAAGTCTGTCAGTAAATTCTTTTTCTTGCAATATCCAACCAGAGGTAAGGCAGCTAGCTGCTGTTTTTTTGCTTTTAATTTAGATTCCTGCATTAGACAGAAGCCTGGGTTCAAAAGCCCAAATGATTCCTTCCAACTATGTAATTTTATAATGTGGAAATATTTTTCACTGACCATAAATGAGTGAAAGCTGATTCTCAATATTCATCAATAAATTTATTTTTAGGAAATGCTCAGAAATATTTCATTTCTCATTGTTTTGTATCCCAAGGATTATGCCCTAAAATAATTCTAACATATTTTAGGTTAAAAATGTATCCCCAGGTAATCACACACCGGCTCTGTAAATTCAGATTAAGTGTCTTGACCTGGAAAAATCACTTTACAGGTAGTTCTCAATTTACAACCATTTGTTTAATTATCATTCAAAGTTACAACAGCACTGAAAACAGTCCTTGCACTTATAACCATTGCAGAATCCTCACAGTTATGTGCGCAAAATTCAGGTGCTTGTCAACCGCCATGTATTTATAATGGTTGCAGTGTCCTGGGATCATGTGATCACCATTTCTGATCTTCCCAGCCAGTTTTTGACAAGCAATGCTAATGGGGAGAGCCAGGTGCATTTAACAACTGCAATGATTCACTTAACAACTGTGGCAAAAGTAGTAGAATAAGGCACAATTCATTTAACAACCATTTTGGTTAGCAAGGAAACTCCTTGCCCCAATTGTGGTCATAAATAAAGAACTATCTGTATTACTATTTTCCTGACACTCTGAGACTCTAAAGACTTTGTAATTGAAAACTGAAGTTTCTCAGTAAGGAAGAAATTCATACCCATCCATATATTTATGTTTTCATGATTGTACACTAGTTACTGATAATTTGAAGATTATAATCCTCACAATTTGTTTGATATTGAAATTGCAATAAGCTTCAGTACAATCAATACACCAAACCTAAGAAATGAACAAATAGTAAATGCAACAAAAGTTAAGACCACAAAACAAATAAGATAGTATATGAATATAACACTGCAATATCCCCAAATAAACCCTTTTCTTTGAGACAATCCTTCCATCTACAATCTACATCCTCATAATGGTACCAGGGACAGAAACTTGGCCACAGAATCAGGCTTTGAATTTTATCCAAAATATATTTAACATAAAACTGAGTGTCTCTGTCAGTGAAGATCTCTTGGATATGGGAGGAACTAGTCCAAATAAAAGAATTGTGATTATTGCATATTGCATACAGGAACAAATGTGAGTACCATTGTTATCAAGAATAGCTCTGCATAGATTACCTAGGACTGCAGTATTAAATTAGAAGCAATTTACTTATCCATGTCTGCTTAAAACTTAGTTATATTGAATTTAATTGGGTTTACTATTAAATATGTCTCAGAACCGGTAAAGGCTTTCATTTCTCTGTTGGCTTCAATCATATAGGAAGTCAAGACTTCAGGTTAAGACTCATAATTTGTCTTTTTAATGGTGTGTCTAGGAGTTTAAAGGAAAGTTTGGAAGGGTAGGACAAAGAAATGGGTGGTTTCAAAACAAAAACTAAATTTAATTTATGGTAAATTTAAATGCAATTATATATTCCCTATGTAATTAATAACTTTTCTTTCTGCTGTAATATCATTTGGACTAATTTTTGAGGAATTATAAAATGGAACTTTTCAAAAGCATCTCTGAATTCCAATAGGAGAACCCAGCCTCTTCAAATCTGAAAATCTTGTACAAAGACCTTGAATTTTACTTTTGCTCTCGGTTCCTCTTACTGTATCAATCCTGCTCTCTGGAACAATGTCATGACCAAAGGCTGCTGATTTGTTCGAAAAATTGCCATTGTGGCACATTTTGTGTGCTATCATAGTAATAGGGGATATTGTAATTTCGTTTTTAAAATATTCTACTTAGCTGAACAAAAATGAGGATAATAACAATTCCTTATTTAATTCAAATCTTTATTTTTATGAAGATTAACTTTTCAAGATGAAGTCCATCCTGAAGAGGACTTAATTTTAGAAGAGTCAAAACCTTTGTAAGTATATATACTGTGAAAATACCAAATAATGTTATGGGTGATGATGATGTTATTCATTCAGTGATGTCCAGCTCTTGGTGATTCTATGGGTCAGGTCTCCACATTTTCTCGAACAAGTGATCTTGTACTACTTTGAGTTTTAGGATAAGAAAAACATGTAGCTTTTCTTTTGAGCTTTAATATTAAGCATATTAAGATTCTAAGTTGATGAGTTTTCCCCTTTTAAGATTTTTGAAGATGGGGATAATTAAATATGTTTCAGATACATTTTTCTTCATATAAAATTTTATTTTATGTATATGTTTTCAATATATTTTTGAAAACTGTTAAGAGTGTGTTCTAACATTTGGGTTTTTTCCTCTGTTTCAGAGTCACAACAAAGACTACTAGTTACCTTACCTTTGGCTTTTTTTTTATTAAAAGCTTACCTTATCACAGTCTAGATATTGTAGGAGGTAAGAGAAAAATAAGTGTTACTTATTTAAATAAAATGTCTGGACAAATTGTTCAAATTTAAAGAGTTGTTTGTGTATATGTGAGCATTAGAGAGAGCAGGACCTAATGTTAGCAAGGATGAGTGAAACAAACTTTACACTCATAGGTGTAAAGTAGGCCAATCTCAACCCTTAGTGTACTATATCCTATCACGAGAATGATCAAAAACTATGTGCACCATATGTAAGTGCCTAGGAAGAAAGAGAAGAGGAAATGATCTCAGTTAAGCAATCTCCTAGTCAAAAAGCAACCAGAGTGATAAGCAAATTTATTGTTTGGAAAACATGAGGTGTTGAAGAGTCAGTGGCCTTGACTGAAATCTGTAACAGAAACACTGTTGCCTTCACTTAGTCTTTGCTTTTGAAAACATGGAGGAATTCCACAGAAGTTTTGAATTAACTAAGAGGCCATATTAATTGATTTCTTTTTGTTCGTGTAGATCACCACTCCCAATTTGCTTTTCAGAATAGGAGGAACCATCAAATAGCATCAGGAAGTTGCACTAAAGACTGAAGCATGTTTATGGAGATTCTCAGTCATCCAGGTCATGGTTGTCCCAAAGGTGTTCTTTCCAAAAGCAATTGGACTTACTTTGTTTTTTCTTGAAGACTCAAACAAAGACTTTTCCTTGAAGACTCAAGAAGCGGCCTCAATGACTCTCAGAGAGTAATGAACATCCTTCAGAGTGCTAATGATCAGATAACTAGCACTGATGATGTGTAGTGGGGTGCCCCAGGGCTCTGTTCTGGACCCAGTGCTCTTCAACATCTTCATCAATGATTTGGACGAGGGGATAGATGGGGAAATCATCAAATTTGCAGACGACACCAAGCTGGCAGGAATAGCCAACACTCCAGAAGGCAGGCTTAGGATATAGGAGGATCTGGACAGACTTGAACAATGGTGAAAAAAGTAAGGTTCTACATTTAGGCAAGAAAAACCAAATGTACAGGTATACTATAGGGGATACCTTGCTCAATAGTAGTAACTGTGAGAGGGACCTCGGAGTCCTAGTGGACAATCACTTAAATATGAGCCAGCAGTGTGCTGCAGCTGCCAAAAAGGCCTACACAGTGCTGGGCTGCATTAACAGAGGGATAGAATCAAGATCACGTGAAGTATTAATACCACATTACAATGCCTTGGTAAGGCCACACTTGGAATACTGCATCCAGTTTTGGTCACCACGATGTAAAAAAGATGTTGAGACTCTAGAAAGAGTACAGAGAAGACCAACAAAGATGATTAGGGGACTGGAGGCTAAAGCATGTAAGGAACGGTTGCTAGAATTGGGTATGTCTAGTTTAATGAAGAGAAGGATGAGAGGGGACATGATAGGAGTGTTCCAATATCTCAGGGGCTGCCACAAAGAAGAGGGAGTCAAGCTATTTTCCAAAGCTCCTGAAGGCAGGACAAGGAACAAGGGATGGAAACGAATCAAGGAGAGAAGCAACCTAGAACTAAGGAGAAACTTGCTGACAGTTAGAACAATTAACCAATGGAACAACCTGCCTCCAGAAGTGGTGAATGCTCCAACACTGGAAGTTTTTAAGAAGAGACTAGACAGTCATTTGTCCAAAATGGTATAGGGTTTCCTGCCTTAGCAGGGGGTTGGACTAGATGACCTTCAAGATCCCTTCCAACTTTATTATTATTATTATTATTATTATTATTATTACCTAGTTAGGATAATGAAATGTCTGCAAGAAAACAAGCAAGCTCAGAGAGCACCAAGGGAACCTCATCAGATAACTGCAAGGAATATAAATCCTTCCATTCCCCACCATTCAGTCAGAACTGAAGAATTTCTTGGAAGAAACGTTCAACATCTTCAAGGAGAAAAACAAGAAAGTCCAGTTGCCTTTTGAAAAAGCATCTTTAGGACCAAGACTGAAGCAGGAATAGTAGTAGTTTGACAACATTTGCTTCTTACTATTTTTCTTCAAAGGAGGATCTCTTGAGAAGAGCTTAGGCATAAAACTCAATAGACTTCATATTTATTGCCCTCTAGTTTTTTTTTATCTCATTTGGCTTTTTACTATAAAACAAAGCAAGATTTTTTTGTTGTTGTTGATAGTTGTGATCTAAAAACATTCCTTTTAACAATCCTTTGTAGCAACCTATAATAACAGGAGTAAAAAACTGGTGCTGATAGATGGAAGAGGATTTTTCAGTCTGGATTTGATACCTTCCAACTGTACTGGTGAGATGAATCAAGGGATGGTCTTCCATTTCATTTTACATATTCTGTTTGGAGAGATGTATCTATTATAAGTATCCAGAACTCCTTTATAAGATTTGTTCTAGTATTATATATAATACTTTGATATTAACTCTTTTTTTGCTTCATTTCTCTGTTGAGTTCTTAACGCTTTCTAATATTTTTATAATAGTAGGATTGCTTTTTACTGAATATTTGAATCCTTTTAGAAAATAATTTTCTGTCCATTATTACAGAATTATTGGAAATTTAAATTTTACACTTTCATTAAAGTTTTGGTAGCATTTATACAAATAAATTATATTTATGCATTAAGTAGGCATATGTGTTTCTATGGATTTGTACCGTATTATCTTAGTAGGAAGATTGGGCTGTAGGCATTAGGTCAGTGGTTCTCAACCTGTGGGTTGGGACCCCATTTGGGGTCGAACAACCATTTCACGGGAGTCGACAAAAAAGGCTGTCCGCCATTTTTTTCCCTCTTTTCTTTGGCCATGCCCCTGGCACCCGGTGATGCATAAATGGTTGGGGGTCACCACAACATGGGGAACTATATTATGGGGTCGCGGCAGTAGAAAGGTTGAGAACCACTGCATTAGGTACAGGGGTAGGCAACCTTGGCTCTTTTATGACTCGTGGACTTCAACTCCCAGAATTACTGAGCCAGCATGACTCAGCTTGGAAACCTTTCCCTTTCCCTTCAGCATGGCTGGCTTAGGAATTCTGGGAGTTGAAGTCCACGAGTCATAAAAGAGCCAAGGTTGCCTACCCCTGCACTAGGATATATACTGCAGCACAAGCAAGTAAGTACACATATTGATGGAGTATACATTATTCCCTTCTTTCTCTGCTTGACTTCTTGGTTAAATGGAGTAATTTATTTAACAGCCTATTAAAAGGTAGTTGCATTTCTATGCTTACTATCCAATAGTTTTCCCTTTTGATGTAGCCAACATAGAAACACAATAATTAGTGTCCTTGTAGACAAACAGTTGACTATTTTTAAGAAAATAGTATTATATATTCATTTAAGAGACTGCATTTGGTTATCAGGCTTAATCATAATATTTATTTTAACATTTTAGCTAAAAGAGAGATGTATTTTCCAAAGTATCAGTTTAATTTGGCAAGAATAATCACTTACTCTGAAAAATACAATGTTTACTTTGTTCTGCAAAAAGATTTTGCAATAAAGGTAAGCTAATATATTTCCTTATAATATATCTCTATCAAAAGCTCAAGAATATTTTTAAGTGGACATTTCTGGAATATTTGAAAAATGGAAGAAAGAATTGGCATTTCTGGTAAAGCTATTGTAATGGTTCCGATAAATGAGACCAGTAGAAATAAGAACTCTGAGACAATTGCTTTCCTCAGAGAACACTTTTAATGGCTACATAATATCAGCACAAACAAAGATGAAACCAAGACTGAAAGTTACCCCCCCCCAAAGGTTACAAACTCCCCACCCATTAGTGTGTCATAAATCACAATCCCCAATTAACACCTTTGGTGGGTTTCCTAAGGTAGCTCCAGCCCACCAAACACATAGGCTGCTTGACCTGGGTCCCCACAAGAAAGTTATTTTTTTGACTAAACTATAAGAATGCATCTCCCCCCTCCCATTGCTGTGGCAGCTGAAAAATGAAGAAACATGGCTGTATTCAAAGTGTTTGAAGGTCTGACAGTTATAGCAATAAATTTGGGTTTTTAAATACCATATATTAAAATGATACCTACAGATTTGAGATTAAGATTGATTCATTCAAAATGTATTTAGGGTGTGATGAACTCATCCTAACTTCAACCTCAGGAAATAATATTGTTACTATAATAAACATTGAGGTAATATAAAAATGTTATTAAAAACTAAGAGTTTCTGAGAACAAATAATTGTTGCTATGCATGCATATGCTAAAAAAATTAAGAGATTATTTACTATAAATAATGGTTCTCACTCTTAGAGGTTTTTCACAACTTGGTTTGCAACCTTTAACCCAGGAAGTTGGGTTAAGTGGTTAAGAGTCAATTAAAAATTATTGATTTTTTTTAATCTTCCGAGAGACTGCAAATAGATTTGACCAAGGATATTGAGGTCATATTAACACCTCACAGCTGGTCCTTAGATGTTCTTCCTCCTCTATTTCAGTAAAAAATTAATGAAATTGGTAAGAAACTTGCTGAATCTTTCAGCCATAGCAAGCAGGCAATGACAAGCTTGTTCTGAAATCTTGCCAAGAAAACTGCAGGGATTTGTTCAAGCAGTTTGCCAGGAATCAAGTCTGACTTGAAGGCATCAATTTAAAAAAAAAAAAAAAAAACCACAACCACAAGAACATCATGAGAATAATGTTGGATCAGACAAGCATCTTTATCATATGTACATACATGCACACATTCATATTGTTTTATTCCAAGAGTTTCTTCAAATTCCTTAGCGTTCCTAAGCACTACAGACAAAACACGATCCACTTGAAGGAGCCAGGAGGGCAGCCTTCAGTTTAGTAAATGTTTTTCTTTAAAAAATAATCTGTGTTGCATATCAGTGAGAATGGATTTGGGACAGCTGCAGCTATTTTAACCCTATATGGTCACAGTTAGCCAATAGGTAATGTCAAGGTAATGCCAAAAGGTCAAGGACTCTGTTTAGAGCAGGGGTTCTCAACCTGTGGGTCGGGACCCCATTTGGGGTCGAACAACCATTTCACGGGGGTTGCCAAACCATGCTGTCCGCCATTTTTTTCCCTTTTCCCTAGCTGTCCTACTCCCTCTTATTGGTGGCCACACCCACTTGGGGGTCACCACAACATGGGGAACTGTATTATGGGGTCACGGCATTAGACAGGTTGAGAACCACTGGTTTAGAGCTTAGTAGCAATTATTCTAAGGACAGAAAAAAAAGGGGGGGGGAGAAACATGGAAGGAGTCTCAATAAAGATAGTGCTAGAATTGACCAGTAAAGATTACATATAATATATGCGGTGCCGGCAATGTGTGGAAAGCTGACATTGTATAGAATGTCTAGGAAATCTATAGAATGTATGACATTTTTAGGCAAAGTATGAAATGTCAGTATTACAGTATATTTTAATATGCTATATAGTATACTCTCCCTAGGTATTCTGTATAATACCTAGGTATTATGCAGAATAACAAAAGCTATTCAGGCAAAATATGAAAAGACAGTCATGAAGAGTTTGGGTTATGATTAATCTAACCCTAACTCTAATCCTGAAATGCCTAATTTCACATATTGATGGTAATGTGCACGCCTTTGGTAAATGAAATTTTCTTTGCAGCGTTGGTTCTGTTTTAAACAACAAGTTTGCTTCCTTACTTGTTTGCTTGCTTAATGCTGATTTGGTACTTTAGAATGTTTATATCCTGTCCTTTACATAGTTCTAGGTGACTCACAGCAAATACATTAATACATTATTGCTATAAGGTACAAATAAAAAATAGAAAACAGTAGCTAAGACCAATCACGCTTAAAAAGCAGAAATTGATAAAAAAAAATAAACCGCAAAAAGTTTATATGCTAAGACCCATCCTTAAAATGAAGGTCTTCAGCTTCTGAAAGGTTATCAGGTATATAGTTAAATTCTTGGTTTGTTGCTTATTTTGTATTTCACTCAATTTTTGATATCAGTAATTGTTTCTTAAGGTTTACAACAAGAACTACGCTGAAATTTGCTCTGTGGAAAATCCAGGTTTAGGTCGATTAACATTTATATCATTTAACCCAGTGAAAGAGGAACTTATCAGCGGAGGAATCACTGGAGTAAAGGTGATGGTTTATTTTATCCTTATTATTGATAGGTTGGCTTGTTGCTGAAATGACAGTAATACTGTATGTGAAATTGGATGTTTGGGGAAGGATCTGTATAAAACCAGGAAATATTATATCTTGCTATTTAAAGCCCTACAGGTTTATATGTTATTCCTGATATCTCTATATGATCAGAAACCTCTTAGGAAGTTTCTATTAATAATTGGCACCTTTCAAGTACTGTTGAATGCAGGAGTTTTATTCAAAAAAGAACAATCTGGTCCATAAAAATATAATTTCAGTCTCTCTCTTGATTTACTGGACTTATTGGCTTCATGAAAGAAATAAGGCTCATGTTTCCCCTCCCATAAAAATGTGTGTAATTATATGAATATATTGTCCAAGTAGTTGCTTTGAGAATAGACTGGTTTATCTTTCTGAATTAGATAAGAGAATATATCATATACTCACCAGAGAAAAACAGGCATGGGTGAAATGTAATCAAGGTAACTGCCAATGCCATGAATTGGATCATTTCCCCACAGATCTCAAGGGCCCTTGGTGCTCTCTGAGCTTGATTGTTTTCTTGTAGACGTTTCATTACCCAGACTAGGTAATATCATCAGTGCTAGCACTGAGGATGAAAGCATCAAGGACCCCTCATTTCAACCCTGACCTACAATAATCTCCTTTAAAGGTATCACGGATCTCAATAAACAGTTCTTTTAAACACCATAAATGATCTGTAATTTCTCTGTAATTCCATTATGTCCCAGCATTGTGTTACACTATTTCTTCTTAAATTTCTGGATATCCACTTCAAATATCCAATCATAGTTGGTTTATTTTTATGTATATTTAGGTAAGCTTATTCATATATTTATATTTCTTTCTGTCTGTTTTTTAGACTTGGAAGTTTAAAGAAAAGAAGCTCCCACTTGACTTTAATCCTATTCCAATGTACAATTACAGTCTTTTCCTTAGGTACATTATTTCTCTGAGCTTTGAACTGTATACTATGTAGCTATGAGCTAAATCTCTGTGTATATGTTTTATTGTATTTTGTCACAAATTATGTAACTTAAATGTATGGGAATGCAGTATAATGCTAAGAAAGCTACTGTATGTCTAACTAAAAAATAGGAGACAAAATTAAATTCCTGTGGCCATGTTATATTTGCTAGGTTTGCAAAACATTTTGAATTTAGAACAACCATTTTAAGTATTCTGACTTTCAAAACAAATCCTACATGTTCCGAGTCTTGTTCTGATCTTGCAGTTTGAATGTTGAGTAATATAAAGTCACCTTGAAGCAAGAACCATTTCCAGCCTTGAAAGTGGCTAGTTCATGTATTCTGTTCTCTATGCAACATGTATACATTTCAGAAATCTTGTTTCAAGCTTAGAACAATAAGCACTCAAGCTATTTCAGATTTTGTTCTGCCAGAACTCAATCAGCTCAGCTCAGTTCTCAGCAAATACGCAAATTAGCAGTGTGAAATTTGATCCTCAATTAGTGAGAGATTATTGATATTGTTTTCTCATAGCATTGTTGTAGATTTGTAAAAAAATATGCTTTTAATTGTTAAAATGCTTGGACTGTTTCCTATCTGATTGAGGTTGTTGTCTTTTTAAGAAAAAAGGATTTAAAGAATGTTTATGGCATTTTCATAATTTAACATGTTGCTAATATTTTGAATTGTAGTACAGAATATCCACATATGGGGAGGAGATGGTGTACAAACATGGATTTTGATGTCACTATGCAAAGATATTACTGCTTTTCTGATGGCCACTTCTTCTGCTATGATATCAATGGGAAAATGCTACTTGAGATACTCAATGCACACCAAAGTTCTATTCTCTCTTGTGTCTACTCCTCTAATGTTAACATTTTGCTTACTTCTTCAAAAGGCAATGAAAGTAAGTTGGCACTCAAAAACAAATATACATATATTTATCTTATCTTGTTATTGACTCAGTTATTTTAAACAATTTTTAATGATGTTAATCAAAAGATGTTCATTAACATTATGGAATTTACACTGCTTAATCAGCAAGATCATAAAAACAGAACAGATATTAATGTATTTAGTTACCTGTAAATTTTTCAGAAAATTGAACAGGAACAATGGTGACACCTCAAAAGATACTACCTTTTTATGCAGTGAAGACTGGCAGATATACAAAAATATTTGTAAGATAACCTTTAAAAGGATTTATATGCTTGGCATGGATTAAATTGGATTGATCTAATCTCAGCTGGAGCTAGTACCCAGAGGTTTGAGCTTGTTTTCTACAAAGAGAAATTTATTTATTTATAGTTTATATTTCTTAACTGACTACTTCGCTCCCAAATTCCTTCTTAAATCTCCTAGTTAGCCCATGAAAGAAATTTGCAGTTTTAAAAATCTGTTTTATTCTGTGAATTCTAATGTACAATTAATACTTACAAAGAATATATATATTACAGTTCCCCCTAAGAAGATGAGATTTCTCCCCATACTATATTGCTATATTGCTGCAGTTTCATTTGCACCTCCTTTTGGTTATTAATATACACAACAGGGAGGGAGGGAGAGTGTAGGGAGGAGTATAAGGAGGGAGGAGAGTATGTGCATATGCATATACCTGTGTATCTCTGTGAGATGTTTTGAATATTGGAGAGAATGGTTGGTATTGCAACCAAGTAGTTGTATGTAGAAGAAGAATTCCTGCCACAGACACAAGGAGTTCAATTTGAGGAGTCTGGCTTTTCGGGGAGGTTTCCAGTATTACTTGGAAAGGGAAAGGGTTGCTATCAGAGTTCAGTTCTGTATTCAAGAGTGCCATTTGTACAAGGTACTTACACTGCTTAATAAGGAAGGAATTAGGCCAGTGATGGCAAATCTTTTAGAGATCGAGTGCCCAAACTGCAACCCAAAACCCACTTATTTATCGCAAAGTGCCAGGGCTGCATCAGCATTGTGGTGCCCTCAGAGGGGTGGGGGGGAATGGCGCACTGAGTGGGCATGGCTGCAGTGGTCATGGCAGACTGGGTGAGCGTGGCCAGGGCCAGTCTCTCTCCATCTCTGGGGCATCCCCGGGGAACAAACACCGCTTGCTTCCTCACTTCCTGCCCTGTCGCTTCCAAACGCCACGTGCTCGCTACTCTGGTGAACTCTGCTGGGGCAATGGCTCACGTGCCCACAGAGAGGGTTCTGAGTTCCGCCTCTGGCACGTGTGTCATAGGTTCGCCACCACTGAGTTAGGCCTTGGATTTTTACTCTGCAAAAAAATTTCAATGACGGATGCTAAGGATGTATTTTTCTCTGTGATCTTCTCATACACTGCACTGAGGTGGTTCCTGAACCATACTGCACCTACTATTTGTCATGGGCTCTTTTAACTATGCCCAATAAAGTGGGCTCAAAATACAAAACAACCAACTCAAAATGGGTCTCTAGGCAGCGCACGTGCGTGCGCGCACACACACACACACACACACACAGAGAGAGAGAGAGAGAGAGAAGCATTCACAAGCTATTACTGCTCACCACTACTCCACTGTTCTCCACTCCTGCTAACTACTCCTACTTGTGAATCCTATTATTCCTACTCCTTGTGCATACTGCTAAAGAAAAGTGTCTCTTATCTGTTTCAGGCTTCTTTATATCTACAAAGTTGTTTTACAGCACAGCTTTTATAGCCAATTTGCAACACCGGCTGGGGAGAGGGCTTAAAGCAGCATGGGTGCTATCCATTTCTGGGCAACATGTTCTCTCACACCTTTTGTCAAAATCCAAAAATGTAATTTACAAATAATGATCTAGTTAGAGGGGCCATACAATGGATTTCCCTTCAGGTTTTACAAAGAGAAAATGTCATATAAGATAAGATACACCTGTTGTATTCATTGATTGTGATTCAAGTATCTATGCCCATAAATTTATTTCTTTGTTCAATGCATATAACTGCCCACCTCACATATGTGGGTTCCAACTTTATATATATAACTGGATCTATGTTTTTCTTATCTTTTTAATCCAGTAAAATCTTGGAATGACCAAGGCTGCTTGCTGCATGTATTTCAAGGTCATTCCAAAACGGTTACAAAGCTTCTACTGCACCCAAACACTACTTCTTTATTTATCTCTGGATCTCTAGATGGATCAGTCAAACTCTGGTCATTTGATACTATGGATGCTTTTTACAGGTAGCTGAAAAAAACTTTTTTTTTAAAAAAAATCCTCCTATCCCCTGAGTTGAATCCAAAGGACACTATTACAAAGAAAGTTTCCTGAGCATCAGTCCATGTGTTTCCTATATTAAAATGTGTACTATAAAAAATCAGGGAGCTTCAGAAGCTTTTTTTTTTAAATTATATATACTGACATTGACAGTGGTATAATTGTGAGTATACTTTGCAGCTCTGGAACATGCAGAGAATGTCAAATTATCCTTATTTTCTCTTGTTACCTTGGAGGTAACCAGTAACTAAACACTTCTTTGAACCCACTATCAGCACATTAGATTATGAGTTAATGAAAACTCTTCATTCCCTTTCAACAATTAATTAGCATCTAATCTATGCCTTAATTTTTTAAAGAAATATTGTGTAGCTTGCAAAAAAAAAAAAATCCAAATCATATACTGGAAAGCTAAAAGGTAACTAGCAAGGGAATTTTAAAAATATAAACAAATGCTTTTAGATATGGTGATATAGTGGTAAACCTGCATTGAGAAGCTTTTTGGTAGGGAGAACAAAAGAATAGCAGCTATAAAAATGCATATACAAATATCAGGGCATGGAAATTCCATTACAAAACACTGGCTTTAATGGAGCCGTGGGGAGAGGATTGATTGCAGATACTGTTACCTGCTCTGATTTCAGATGAAAATAAAGTGGTGAAACTGAAGACAAGAATCACGCTTATGGTAAAAAAAAAATTCCACCCAGGGAAAGCAGGGGATTTTTATGAGCTAGGCAAATGTTACGGAAGTTTTCAGTGATAGAGTAATTTCAGCAACATTGTATATATTAAAAGAGAAAAGAGTTTTCAGCAAGAAATACAGAAAGAGAAAGCTGTACAAACATCAGGTTAGAAATGAGAGTCTATGAGACATTCTATTGGCAGTTTAAAAATATTCAGAAGAACTTAGAGCAGTGATGGCAAACCTTTTAGAGACCGAGTGGCCAAACTGCAACGCAAAACCCACTTATTTATCGCAAAGTGCCAGGGCTGCATCAGCATTGTGGTGCCCTCAGGGGGGGCGGGGATGTGTGTGACCCACTGAGTGGGTGGGTGTGGCTGCAATGGTCACAGCAGACTGGGTGAGCAGGGCCAGGGTGGCGGGGGCCAGTCCCTTGTCATCTCCGAGGCATCCTGGGGGGCCAATGCCGCTTGCTCACTCACTTCCTGCCCTGTCGCTTCCAAACGCCACATGCTTGCTATTCTGGCAAACTCTGCTGGGGCAATGGCGTGCGTGCCCACCGAGAGGGCTCTGAGTGCCACCTCTGGCACGCGTGCCATAGGTTCGCCACTACTGACTTAGAGTGACAGGATACCTTCATATCCGTTACAATAAGTAGGCTAGTATCAAGTTTTTAGAATATAAAAATATAAATAGAATATAAAAATATAAATATTAAAGTTGTAGTGCAGAACAGGGTTCAAACTAAGCTGGAACTAATATAGAGATAAGTACATATAAAGTTACTTTGAATTACTGTCCATAAAATAAATTTATTTTTTAAAAAAATGTTGGATTTTTCCCTTACATGAATCCTGGTAAATATCTCAATGATGCATAACTATGAAGTTATATTCTAAAACATATATGAAGATTCTGGTTCAATTATACACATTTTATTATCATTTTATGAAATGTTTAATTTTGCTCTGTCACACATTTGAAGCTGGTTTCTTCAGCAGTTCATAACTGGCCACTGACTTCTTTCTTCTTCTTACATTTGGTCTATATTGTCATTCTTCTTTATCTAGTTTATCCCTCTTCCAAGAAGGAATACTTTCAATTGGCACGATGGAAGATAAATTTCTTTACTGCTGTTCGGCTCACAATGTTCATATTTATGATCTGAATTCATTTACCAGCTTTTGGAGTCATGTCAACAGCCCAATAAGTCACTTCCACATCTGTAGCGCTGTTGGGAAATCCAGCAGGGTGGCTGCAATGGGTGTTGACAATAGGTATGTGAAAACGATAATAAAACTGGCAATCTTCCTTTAAACCTTCTTAGGATTTTTGTTAGGTATTAATGTTTTTAATATGAACTAAATTCGGATAAGAACTGAAATAGTGCCCAAATAAGTACACTTGTGGATAATAATATCTGTTAAAATGTTATCATATATAACTAAAATAAACTTCACTGTCTATATGGAAGCATTTTATGACAATAAAATCTTTATTTAAGATTTATGTATGCTATATTTATGTATGGTTTTTTTTGAGATATACTGACTTTTCTCTGTTTATTTTCAAAGTTTAAGAATATTCTCTCTTCAAACTGGGAAGAGATTATGCACCGTTCTGCCACCTCCTTATCCCCCTATGCTTCAGCCAGTTCTCAGTTTTACCTACAACCGAACTTGTGGAACTATTTATTTTCTATTGACACACTATGATATATGGATTTATACAGCAAGGTAATAGAAAGTATGACACCTCTATTTAATAACAGTTGAAAATAGTAATTATTATTTTAGGAGAGGATAATGAGTTGGATATGAAAAATGAGAAAAGTTAAAAACCTGAGGGAAAAAATGGCAAGTACCCTTTTCTGTATTTAAATTGTAATATGTGGTAAAATTGATGGAATTAATTTATAGAAATGGACCAAGACTTGTAACATGAGAATGTTGTGGATCTTATTTCAACGAAAAAGAAACAATCTTTGTTTTGCTGATATATTTCAAAACTAAAATGAAACACACATAGCATATACTCGCTTTCAGCTTCAGATGTCTTAGAAAATAAAAACACTTTAATAAATGTAAACAAAACAGTTGCAAAACATATGTACTTGTTTTTGTATGTCCACAGTATAATTGTGTTGTGCCAATTTTGCTGTTGTTTTTAATTAATAAAAATAATTCAACTGTTAATTTGATAAAAGAAAATTAATATATAGATATGAATATGAATTTGCTTCCAATCCACAGTAATATGCCATCTTGAAATCTATGGTACATTTTATAAAGTCTTTTTTCCTAGTGTTCATAGTTGCTTTTGATTTTCTAATTTGCATCTGAATGTGGGAAAGCAATAAGAGAAAGAATGAGCTATCTTCGCTGCCCAATGTATACATTTGCTTAACTGAATAATTAGGATGACTTATTTCTTGGTTTTCTCCCGCATAAAATTGGAAGTGTCTTGGCGACATTTCAACGAAGTCCCATTCGTCATCTTCAGGCTGGTGTTTTCGAGCAGTGTTTTCGAGCAGCTGGTGTTTTCGAGCAGCAAGAAGCTTCGTGCTTCTTGCTGCTCGAAGCACGAAGCTGAAAACACCAGCCTGAAGATGACGAATGGGACTTCGTCGAAACGTCGCCAAGACACTTCCAATTTTATTCTTGACATACACTCTCTGTATCCTTTAGTCATCCCCTCTAGGAGTAACAGCCTTTCATGATGAGGTAGAACAGTGTTTCCCAAACTTGACAATTTTAAGGCATGTGGACTTCAACTCCCAGAATTCCACAGCCAGCATGGAATTCTGGGAGTTGAAGTCCTCATGCCTTAAAATTGTCAAGTTTGGGAAACACTGAGGTAGAATATCAGGACTTGAGGGGAGATCAACAGTATCATCATGCTTTTTGGTTATAAAACAGATCTTAGCCAAATTATTTGTCACTGAGCAATAATAGTAGTAGGAAGAGTAATTTCCTTTATTAAGTGCCATTGAATATATGGTAGGTATCAGCTCAGGCAATACTGTGTTCAGTTGTATAGTTGCTCACTTTATTGAAACTGCGGTATCATTGTTTTTTATTATTATTTGTTTGAGCAAAGAATTTTAAATGATTTAAACAAATTATTAAGTTAAAACACATTATTTAACCTCTGTTTTTAAAAATAAATGTTGACATACCTTCTGTATTTTATCTCTAAAAACAGAACATGGGATTTATTTACAATGGAAGATCAGAACATATCACCATTTTAAATTAATTATAATTTTAATTTCCATTTGGTTTGCAGTCTGCCCTTCTAATTGGCCACCACCTCCCTATTCTTTTTAAACTTGAGCCTTTGGTTGTTATATAAAAAGTCTTGCCAAAAATGCCTTGCCTCTGACAATATGCTCAATGAATATTAGGTTAAGCCTCAGCTCTGATTATTTGCACTTGTTGTGCATCCTTAATTCCTAAAAAATAATTTGTATTAATTCCCAAAAGGTTTTATCTTTGTCTGCTGGGTGAGATTATGACTAGCTCTGTGGTTTTTGAAGCACTTGATAAATAATATTTAAAGGGATGGGAGTTTCTGAAAAAAACAAAACAGACTTGCAGTTTCTTGTATTGTGTTGCAATCTGAAGAACAGTTGATTGGATATTCATGTCAACATATTCATCTATAGTTAAAGTGAGGACATGGAATATAGCGGACTATTTTTTCCCCACATTGTTAATTTTAATATGAAAAGACAATGAAATCAACATCAAAAGATAACTCAAAAAGTAATTTCTCAAATGAAATTATCAGAGTATTTTTTTTTCTGCTTTCAGTGTCAAAGACAGATTCCCATCTTTCATCTTTATTGTTAAACTTGTTTGATTTTTTTTAAAAAAAATTCAAAACAGTATTTTGTATATAATGTAAGTTTTTGATGTAAATTGCTTGTTCTTCCTAATAGAATAGCTACTTTCAATTTAATCTTAGTCCCATTATTATTATTGCTATTGGTATTATATACCTGAGGTTGGTTTTGATTTTAGGACTGATCCTGCATGTAGAGCAGCCGTATGGACCACAAGAGAATTACAAGAACATTTACATCGAAAACACCCTTTAGCTTCGCAAGTATCTTTAATTTTTGTTAAACCAAATTGTTGGACAGATATTTCATATGTTATAGAGAATTTCATGAACAATTTTGGTGGTCTTAGCACACAACATTTAAAATATTGGTTATCTATAACTCATTTTTCAAAACATGCCATAATTTTGTTTCACAAATTTCTAATACAATGTTCATTATGAAAATTATTTATTAATTGCATTTATAATTATATTTTCTATTTAGAAAGTGCAGAAGATAGCTAATTATAAAAACACCTTTAAAATTAAAAATCATAGATCTAGGCCAGTGGTGGGACTCAGCCGGTTTGCACCAGTTCAGCAGAACCGGTAACTAATTTTTTGTTGCCTAGGCCCAGAACGGACTTCCAGAAGGGGCATCCACACAGAGAACCGATTGTTCACGTATTTGAATCCCACCACTGGATCCAGCTAAAGAGGAGAGTCTTGAAACTTTGTCAAAATAATAGTAACAATTAGTGGTATCTCCCAAGAAACCACATCCAATAGCCCTGGAGCAACAACCAAAAATGAAAACATTTTTAAGAAGGTTTGTCCAGATATTAGTACCCAGACATGTTCTCCCAGTCAAGTCCTAAGATATTTAGGTCAAAAGCAACATTTTATACTGTGGCCAGAATAAAACTGAAAACAGTACAGGACTTTCAACATAGAGGTAACATGTGCGTAATACTGTGATAGTTAACAGCACACTGCATCCTTATGTGTTTCAGCATTAGAAACTAAATAATCTATGTTGACTTGCAAAGTGCTCCCTGTGTCTGATAGAATAGAATAGAATAGAATAGAATAGAATAGAATAGAATAGAATAGAATAGAATAGAATAGAATAGAATAGAATAGAATAGGGAACGGACCCTGGAGATCTTCTAGTCCAGCCCCCTGCTCAAACAGGAGAACCTATATCATCTCAGACAAGTGACCAGAAAATAGTCTAAGCTAGTGGAAGAGAGTTGAATGCATGTAGGGATATGAAAGTGTGGGTTTAATTATAAATGAAAAGTCAAAGATTTATGGCACAATATAAGTTTTTAGGTTGTTAAGGCTGTGCATGAAAGCTTAGAATTGTTATTTCTTATGCTGCAGGAATTGGTAATAATGGAAAAACCAGTTAGTTTTTGGATTAGAAGGAAGGTGGTCTAATCTTGTGAAAGTCCCCACTAATGGCTTTCCAGAGAATAGAGACTGGGTTTTTTCAGAAAGCCTTTCATGATCACACAGTTGGAAAAAGATCTGAAGAATCAGAAAGAATGGGGGGGAAAGCCTCTACAGTATTGCCAGAGAAAATTGTTAAGACTACCTTATTTAGCTTTTTGGAGCAGCAGATCAATGTTTAAAGTACCATAATCACTTAACATGTTCTGGACATGTCCTGAAAGTAAAGAATGACAATTGCTAATTGCTAATGCAAACCCAGCTGACATCCTACTAAGAGATCAAAGAAAACTAATAGGACTACATTCTCCCTATCCCTTTCACATCACAATGGTCAAAGCAATCTCAATCTTACATCCAAGTAGAAGCCTGTTTTGTTTCATAAAAATAAAAAAACCAGGAAAGAAAAGCTTCCCAGTTACCCTTTTGGAGTAGCTGTAAGACTACTCTCCATCAGACCAGATCAACTGATTGTGTAGCCTGTGCAGAAGGATAACTACTTGCCTAAGACTGGCTGACTGAGTGAGTCATGTCATGCAAATAAAGTCATTATCTGAGAACTTAAGTAAATTATTGAAACATCTGATCAGAGCAGAAATGGAAATTAGAACTCTGACTTAAAGTGTGTATCTGTTATCTTTGTAAAGAAGATAAAGTAAAGTAAAGAAATTGGAATACATCATAAGCCAAAGATTATACAAAGTAGTAGGGATGGTTCCATTTTTATATAAGGAAAAGATTTTCTTTTTGAGCTGTGTGAAGATTAACTAATCAGAACAAAGGATTTAGAATAGACTTTTAAACCAAAAGTACAGAAATTGCACTTAAGATTTTTTTTGGGGGGAGGGGAGGGGGTACACAATAGGGTAAATAAGTTTCCGAGTAATAATATCTCAAAAGAAGAAAAGAACTCACGAAAATGAAATAAGATTGATGCAGAGGTTTATTTACTAAAATAGAAAGATGTTCCTCATTGTCTACAAATGGCTGAAGAGGTTTTTCACTGAAATTGAAATGATCCCTGACCCTGGGCTACTGCATTTCCCCATGCAACCTCTTAAAATAATAATAACAAATTATTAAATTTATATGCTGCTATAATCTCAGCAACTCAGGGACACGGCTTCTTTGAGAAGGGAAAAAGCTACTGCCTACCATGTTGAAATAGTACTTTGTGGGTGTCTGCTCACTTTTGCTGTTGGGATGGAATAACTTTGTTGGGAAAATTATATGGTCACATTGTAGTATTATGACGAAGAATGGAAAATTAATAGTTTTGGCTGGTAAATGCAAAACAACTGATCAAAATCTCTTTATGAAACTGTTGTCTTTTCTATACAAGTAAGTGGACTTACAACTGATAGATTGATTAAAAGATATCTCACTATACCTTTCTAGATGTATTGAGAAAAATGGATATTTTCAACATACACAAAAAAGGAACTTTAGGACTTCAGCGAAATGTGAATGCCTCTGTAGCTTGTCCTCATCACTATGTTACTTGGTAGATGAAGGAATGGTATATGCAGATAATCAGGAATTTCTGGTTCTTGGTATGCAGGTAAAAATGCAGCTAGATATATATTTATGCATATTTGCTGTTAGAGATGATTTGAAAATGATAACAACTTTGGCATGTTTCACAAATATTACAAATAAAAATATTTCTCCCTAAATCACTGATCACTAAGAAGACGGTACACACAATCAGATTTGTAAGATTCTGTTATTATAGTCAATCTTAATAAAAGTAATTTTAGTCTGATTTGCCTAGTAGAGCTCATATGTAGTGATACATAGTTTAAAGCACGGGTGTCAAACTCGATTGCCTCACATGACATATCGAGATGTATTGTGACATTTTGCCTTTGCAGAGCTGGGCTGGGCCTGGCCTGCACGCGATGCGTCCGGCCCGCAGGCCACAGTTTGACACCCCTGCTTTAAAGTATCATCACAAATTGAATTATACTTTTCAGGAAAGTAATACGAGATACGTCAAATAAAGATAAAGTAGTATCAGATAAAAAATCAAAATGCTGCTTGTTTGGATCAGTGTGAGAGAAAAGATGTTAGACTAAAAGGCACGTTTATTCTCATCTAACATATTGGTTGATATGAAAGGTGAGAAGTTGAGTATGAAAGGAAATGGGCACTGAGATTGAGGAAAGTGAGCAAACTCACCGAAGGAGATGAAAGGAAAAAAAGGGATGGCCCATTGCATGGGGATTATAAAATAGTATAGTATTGACAAAATATGTCCATAGGAATGTAACCAAAATTATAAGTGTCTGGAATTCAAAAACCTATGAGGAATGATTTGAAATGTTGACTGTGTTTAGCCTGGAGAAGAGAAGAATATGTAGACCATGAAAGCTATCTTCAGACATGTAAAGAATTGTGATGTAGAAATGTTCAGAAGATAAGAGAAGAAATAGTGTGTTCAAACTGCAAACAAGTAGATTTTAGCTGAATATCAGGAAAAAAAATCCTAATGATAAGAGTTGTTCAGCAATGAAGAACATTGCCATGAGTAGTGGTGGGCTCACTGGTGATGGAAGTTTTATTAAAAAGAGGCTGATTGCCATGTGCCAGAGATGCAATATTATGGTTTGCCTAACTGGATGGGATTGCCAGAGTCCCTTCTAAACCTAACATTCTGTAATTCTAGGGAACACTGAAATTTCATTTTTCTAGGGAATACTTCAATTTCATTCAACCATTTAAATTAGGATTTTGAGTCAATAAATCAAAGTTTCATTGGGTAAAATTAAAATTAAATAAAATTAAACTTTGATTTGTTGATTTAGGATGAGTTTAATTATTGGGCATAAACTTTCATTAGTTTTATATGCCTTGTCTTTCATGCTAGGTGACAACCAGTAATTATGTTTGAGGTGTTTAGTGTATTTTGAGCAAGTACAGCAATTTATTCACGTTGGGTATAAATACATATTTTAGTTTGTTCGGGCACTATGTAAAATGCAGTGTGAAATGATCAGTTTATTTGTTCAGTATCTTAAAAAACATTTGAACAGTGTAATCAACACACAGAATAAACCTACTGTATGTACAACATTTTAGGATTACTGAAAACAAGGATAAGCAACTTTATATTTCATCCATTCATTAATGTACATATGAGATGTGATGTTACATTATTTCAATTTGCCACAGAGTTTTGTACATCATAAAATGTATCTCTAAATTACTGTAGAATGGGTCTCTTATATTTTGATAGTTGTGACTCAAAGATTATAAACAAATCTGAGGCTGAATTTAGGACTTAATCATTAGATTTTTATTTGTGACTTTTATCTAACTGTAGATATCTATAACAAAGGCTTTGAACATTTTCAGGCAGCAGTTTAAAATTTCTCAGAATCCTTGATCAAGGGGCAAAAATTCTAGAAATAAAACGTTGGCTGCATTCGAATGATATTTTTTTGACCATAGTCTTTCCAGTTATTAGGAAATGCTAGAGTTCCATGAAACACCTTTGAAAAGCCCTGATCTATAAAACATTTATTTTCAAGGATTTAAACATTTTAAGTAGCTTATTCATATAAAATGAATAACACAAAAACGTTGTCTCCTGAACACAGTGGTACAATGAGAAATCATCCCATAATGCTCCACAGAAAATCTCTGTGGATTTCCATATATCTATATGTGTATGGTCATGTGGTATATCATATTTTCATCATACTGGGTATAATATTTCTTTTTAAAGGATGGAAGAATTCTATTTCTCCATACGTCAGTTCAAAACTTGGTATATTATGAAATGGCTACTTATGAAGATCCTGTGAGTGCATCTTTTCTAATATTTCTTTTAATTGAATGACAAAGATATATACAAACATGAATCAGTTTCTTGTTTCAAAATTCAATATAATGCCACTTAGAATTATAAATTTACATTGCCATGCTTTTACAGTAAGGTTTGGTTGTACAAAATGGATATCACTGGGATCTGCTATGCTGGGCAGATCTTCATCCATTTTGGAATGGTAGATGTCTGGAAAATTTCAGTACAGTTACGCAAACATTATCCTTTCAGTTATCAAAAGCTGCTACAAGAATAGTCCTACATGTTATAGTATCTTGATTTGCTATGTTCTTTATGTAATAAAGGTTGAGACACAGTTGTCTTATCAATGAATAGAAGGTTGCATATATACACAGAGCTCTGAATTGCACACAAAGGATTACTTCAGTTACTCCAGAATACATTTTTCAACTGCAAAATTCCAATATTCATTAAAATTTGTTTTACCGTACCAACTCCTAAAATGTTATGAACTAAACATTAAATCTGGCATGTTTTTGCCTTGACTGGTATTTTTGGAATTCAGAAAAAAATAAGGGTTGAGTTTAGTGAAATTTCTAGAAATGGAAGTAAAATGTTAGATGATGATAATAATAATAATAATAATAATAATAATAATAATAGTGAGGAGGAAGAGGAGGAGGAGGAGGAGAAGAAGAAGTTGAAGTTGAAAGGGACCTTGGAGGTCATCTAGTCCAACCCCCTGCTCAGGCAAGAAACCCTATACCATTTTGGACAAATGGCTGTCTAGTCTCTTCTTAAAAACTTCCAGTGTTGGAGCATTCACCGCTTCTGGAGGCAGGTTGTTTCACTGTTTAATTGTTCTAACTGTCAGGAAGTTTCTCCTTAGTTCTAGGTTGCTTCTCTCCTTGATTAGTTTCCATCTGTTGCTTCTTGTCCTGCTTTCAGGCGCTTTCAAGAATAGCTTGAGTCCCTCTTCTTTGTGGAGGCCCCTGAGATATTGGAACACTGCTATCATGTCTCCCCTCATCCTTCTCTTTGTTAAACTAGACATACCCAACTCCAGCAACCGTTCCTTATATGTTTTAGCATCACTGAGTTTAAATATCATGATAAAATCAATAACATGCTACGTACCCTATCTGACATTTACTTGTTTATATAAAAGGAATATTTATTTACAGGGCTGACATGGCCACTGTCTCTTACAGTGAAATTTTGTGAATTTGGAAAGTCTACCAAGCAACCATTCTGGGTCAGCCCATGTGGTTTTAATAACAGCAATAATAAAAAAAAATTGCAATTACATTTCTGAGTTTCAAACTTGTTTTGTGAGAATTTAATATTATTAAGCTTGCATTTAAAAAAATATTCCTCAAATATTAATATTTTATCCCAAAACTATATAGAAGTATTAACCCATTTAATCCGATAACTTTTTACATTTGTTTTTATTTTTAATTTATATAATCACTTAATCAGTTAGAAATTGTTTTTTTTTATTAAAAAATACATTCAACATTTAGGTTATCCATTTGCATCATGATATAGCCCATCACCAATTGGTAATCATGTGCCAGAAATCAAAATACAAACTGATTCACTACAGGAGTCTACCTGCTCTGGAACTGGTCTTTCAGGTTTATGTGCCGAATGAGTCCACTGTTTTCACAAGGCTTGTGAGTAATAGGAATAGTTGTATAATATTGTGAGTGTAGAATTGAATGGCATTCTATTGAAAAAAGTATTCTTATTTATTCATTATAACTATTTGTTTCTTTATGATTCCTCTAATCTCATTGTATGGATCCTATATGTTGCTTGATATATCTGGCTACTGTTTATCTCTGCAGCTAGTCACATAGCAGGAAAGGGTTCTAATTGTAGAAGCATATGAGGAGATTTTTTAAATATTTGTACTGAATTTATTATCCCAAGACTCTTGAATGATGAGCACTTCTATTACACATAAAGTTAAAAAAAATGTGAAAAAAATGGTATGAATAGAGATGACCAGCTGACTTTCAGTTTTCACTATACTATATATGGAGATTATTCCTAAAGTAGTATAATTCTTGCCAAGTTGTCTTTTAGACATTCTCATATGACATACTTTTTAATTATGATTTTGGACTAATGATATTGAACTGCCTTTACCTTTCATAAAATAATGTTGTTAATAGTGAAATTGTGGAACAATACCAGTAAATATATGGGAAATTATATGGAAAACACCTTTACTAATTTTATATGCTTAACTCTTCAGTTTCATGACATAGCTATTTTAATTCCTCTGTGTCAGGAAAGAGAAAAACTAGGAGTAGAAGCTGTTTATCTGAAAACAGACCCGTTTTTATTTATTAGCTGAAAAAGCAATGATTTGACAACTATTATAAAGCCATTGTTGATTCTGAACCCATTTTTTTTTTACTGTGGACTAAACTATAAACACAGTGGGCAACATTTCATTCAGCAAACTAAAATAATTTGCATATTTCAGGACAGATCACTTTTTATTGGCCTGAAATCTGGCATCGTGGATATTTTAAATATTTTAGAGGAAAACAATGAAATGACATTTCCTGAAAAAGGTATGAAATTTATTATTAACAATTTAATGTGCAAATAAATTAGAAGAATTAAAACATACATTTCTGTATTAGAAATTTTTCTAGCATGGGTCGCTAACACAGTTTCCCCCCTGGATGTCTGATTCTATGGTTGGGCTCAAAACAAACAGATTAAGAAAATAAAAGATAGTTATGACTTAACAGTTCCCATATGTTCAGTAAGAACAGATGATAGCATATTATGGTCATCATGCTGTGTAAATCCATTTGACTGCAAATAGGTGGGGCTGATTGCTCCACCTATTTGCAGCAGATGCACAATTTAATTCACTTATGTTGTCATAGTAACAGTCTAGTTTCTGTTCCTTGATGAGTTCTATCTGTAAATCAGATACTTATCATTTAGTTGGGCATCATGCCCAGGAAAGGCAAGTTGAATATTGTGCAACTGTTATTTAAATCACAAGGCTCTTCAAATAGATAAGATGACTATTAAGTACATAGATGGATGCAATTTATATAGTCAAATCCTCTAGATCTAATTATTCTAGTTTTCATTTGTTACTAGATTTAGTTTTGTCTAGTTGTCATATCATTATAATAGCAGAAATTTTTGTTTGACCCTTAGTTGATAACTGCTGGTATAAATCATAAGTCTCTATTTTTTCCAAGGGATTAAATATTACTAGGATGGGATGGGCTAAGCTGATGATGAGGTTGATGACAGAAGGCTGAGTAATTTGTTCATAGCTGACAGGAGTTCTTCTCTGAATAATACCATATTATGTAATACAGTTAGAATAGAGTAGAGTGGAGTGGAGTGGAGTGGAGTGGAATGGAATGGAATGGAATGGAATGGAATAGAATAGAATAGAATGGAATAGAATAGAATAGAATAGAATAGAATAGAATAGAATAGAATAGAATAGAATAGGACTTGGAGGTCTTCTAATCCAGCCCCCCCCCCCGCTTAAGCAGGAGAACCTACACCATCTCAGACAGGTGATTGTCCAATCTCTTCTTAAAGATCTCCAGTGATGGGGTGCCCACAATTTCTGGGGGTAAGCTGTTCCACTGGTTGATTGTCCTCACTGTCAGGAAGTTTCTCCTTAGATCCAGGTTACTTCTTTCCTCGATCAGTTTCCAACCATTGTTTCTTGTCCTTCTCTCTGGTGCTCTGGTGAACAACCTGTCCCCTTCTGCCTTGTGGCAGCCCCTCAGATACTGAAACACTCCCCTATTTCTTCTTTTCTTTAGACTAACCAAACCCAAGTCCCACAGCCATTCTTCGTATATTTTAGCGTCCAGGCCTTTGCTCATCCTAGTTACTCTTCTCTGAATTGAATGAACTCTGAAGTTCACGTCACTTGTTTAATTCCACCCAAAAATATTCTAGTTAGGAATTCTGTAACACTTCCCAAATACTTTGCATGGTTTCACTTCTGTTGTTCAGATGCTTTCAAGTCTTCATGACTTGTTGAACATTGTTTTGCCAGACTATCAGCAATTGCAATTACAACTCCATTTAATTAATATTTATTTTTCTTTTTTATTTATTAAATCTTTTTGAATAAACAATTAGAAACAAAGAGGGAGATCCCAATACTTTACAAAGACATGATGTATCTCAACTATTTCATTCTTTAACAATAAATATTAAATACCTATTTAAAATATAAAAGAACTTCTCTCCTGAGCAGTGTTTAAGTGCATATTTGGGGCCAAATATGGTAGAGACAAATTTTCCAATGCCTTGGTCACTGTTAAAGTTGCTAGGTTGGCTGCTGCAAATTCTAATTCTCTGCTAGGTAACAAAACTAATCTTCTGCAACCTACACACACTGGTTTTATCAGCATTTTTCTTTTATAGTTAGAAACCAGGTGTATTGCCTTAAAGTGGAGAAAACAAAATGAAGGAAGAGACCGTGCTGGCCACTGGAAAGCATTCCTTCCATACTTATCTGTTTTTAGCTGATTTTTTTTTAAATACATCACACAATGTGTGAAGTTCTCTAAAGTTAGATTACATAAAGAAAAAAAAATATTTCTGGTTATTTACTCTATAAGAGATACACTAATTGCACTGCATATGGAAATGAGGTACAATAAAAGGTTGATGGATAGTTCAGTGTTACTTCCTGTTAATTGAGACATCTTTCTATTTAGTCGACCCTACACTATGCACCATCAATTCTTTCAAGGAAGATATAGGCAGCTGTAATTTATTATCTCATTTAACTTTCCAGCAGATCGTAATTGAAACAAGTGAAATGTTTAAGAAGGCAGCTAAATCCATTTCCACTTAATTTAATGCAGTATTAGCATATGTACTGTTTATGAGTAATGTACTGCTACTACAGTTATGACAGTGTTAAATTCCTATCATTGCAGGTTAAAATGCTTTCCTGACAGGATGGAATATTAGCACCTGTTGGGTACAGCATTTAAAAGCCATTACAACTAGATACAGTGGTGGGATTCAAATACCTGAATAACCAGTTTTCTGTGTGGATACCACTTCTGGAAGTCCATTCTGGGCCTGGGCCTCCGAGGCCAGAACGGACTTGCAGAAGTGGCATCCATGACTTCCGGTAGACCGTTCTGGGTCTGGGAGGCCTCCCACAGGCTTCCGAGACTCAGAACAGACTTCCGGAAGCAGCATCCGCACACTCCCGGTGATCCATTCTGGGCCTGGAAGGCCTCCCCCAAGCTTCCAAGGCTCAGA